AGACCTCATGTAACCTGTTCCAGGCTCTGAGACAGTTGGGTCCGCTGAATTGAGAAAGCGAAAACACGAAAATAAAACGGGAGAAAACTGGGGAGTCTCCCCAACTATCTGCGAGCCTGGAACAGGCTAAATTAGGCCAGGTCCGAAAATGGGTATGGATTTTAGAGATCTGGTCTGAAAACGGGTGTGGAAAATGACATTTTTTGGTCTGCAATAAGGTCAGGATTCGGAGAACCGGGCACCACACCCCCACCAAGAATTCCCAGTAGTACCGCCCTCCGGAGATCAGGAGCAGGGTGTAAATCATGTTATCATAATCATCGCTTAGAATATAACGTTGGATGACTCATTTCGGTTATTATTCACGTATGTGAGTAATCCCTCCCCCCCTTAAATACTGCTTTTGTGCATTGCGGAATGCCCTACATTGACCTTGTCGTCTGAGTTCTTCATTCAGTCGTCATATTCCCAAGGCTTTATTTGAAACGGAATTGTGGCATCCGATAAGAATTTTACTGATCTGACTAACACCAATACTATTTTTTTTAATTTGTGCTTCTTATTGCTTTAAACTGCAAATTGAAATCTCTTCTAACTCAGAGTTTAATTTCAGTTGCCTTGAGTACCGTCATAACCCTCCTTCTCCATGGGAAGAATAGACTATGTGAACAGCCAAGGGAATGTTAAAGCTGGGACTACTGTTTTTGCTAGTCCTCTTTCCATTTCTCTCAGTTTTACCTTTCTAAAGCTGTTTTTATATATATAGTCCGTAGTCCGCATTTTATACCTTGTCCATATTTTATACCCAGTCCGTAGTCCGTGGTCCGCAGTCCGCAGTCCATTGTTTATACTGACCGTTTATTTATAGTGAACTTCTAGATATTTTAATTCAATGCCGACGAAGATCTAAATCGCTATGCGGATACAGTCTTACGGTGCCTTTAAATTGTATGAGAATTGGAAACTTTGAATGTGAAGAGCATGATCTAAAGCTAAACCTTAATATCTTTTCAATATTTTTGTTGTAAACGTTGTGAATGCTGAAGAGTCTGACAATACAGTTTCCAGCCAAACCAAAAGGCAGCAATAGGATCAGACACTTCTGGAACATTCTAAATTAACTTTCACACAGTTCTAACTGTTTTATATAACAAATAACTTAACTAACCTTATAAAAGAGATGTTGAAAAACAACCATGCCTTCCACTCCGCCATTCGCCGCCATCTTTAAATTACTGTTAGTTCCCAGTGTCCTAGACAAAAACGAATACACGGTCACGAAAGACGCGCGCGCGGGCTACTCGCGAACGGTAAAGATTTTGTCAGTTTTTTGAAGGGGATAGACCATGATTTTGGTTAGGTTAGGGTTATTTCTCTCGATGAGGTAACAAAATCTTTTCGAATATTTATGAAGATATTTATTCTTATTAGTTGCCATATTAACCCATGAGTTTGTTCCAAAAGTTGCCTTGTTTGGTCAAAGCTGGCGTACTTGAAATAAAAGAAATAATGCTTCCAGGCTGAGATGTTTTCGGTACGTAACAAATTAAAGCTTCTTACTCCACTGACAACTTAGTTGCTATATTGGATTTCTGCTAAGGGTTTAGTCCATGAGTTTATACCAGAATTTTAGGTCTCTTTTTTGCCTTTTGGTCAAGACTGGCCTAGAAAGACTAGAAATTATCCTTCGGAATGTTCTTAGTAAGTAACTGGAAGGCTTTGTCTTTGGAGATTTTGCCTAGTCCCTATTCTTGGCCCAAAATGTACAAGAGATCAAGATGGTGGGGGGGGGCGGGGTGCACGCCGTCGTCCAAAATAAAAACGTCTGTGACAAAGCCTTATATAGCAGTCTTAAAAAAAGATTTGCTTTTTCGCCATATCAAACTTTCTAAAGGGGTCAAACAATGCCGAAAAAGTCGTTTGCAGATGTTTTAGGTATGTAAGAAGGACTTGAGATCATCGATATCGATTTTCGCCAAGTAACGTTTCCTCTTTTTTCGTCAAAACGTTCCTAGCTGTACTATTTGGGCATGTTTTTATTTATAGGTAACAAGTCCTTCTTCACCTTTCATTGAAACATTGATTTTTCTAGTCGCCATTTCTAACGAGGTTAGCATTGGAGGTTGGTCTAATCTTTCAAATTTCTTCCGATTTCAGTTTTAACTCAATATTCTCCAATAAATAATGATTAAAGACGTGTTTAGATAGGCAACACGGCTTCCAAGGCACAAATCGCCACCACAGAAAGGAGCAAGGAGCTGGGCCGAGTTAACTTTCGCAAAGACGGCTGACTGACTGACATGTCCATAGTAACGTCCCTAGTAACGATTACAGACACAGAAATGGTGTTCCAGTCCCTTTCTTGTTTCTTAAGAGGTGAATTAAAGTTCAAATAATACATCATGACACCGTCAGGTACCCCATATTAAATTCCCAGTTTATAACCAAAAACGAGAAGTCCAAAGACTACTGCAAAGCTGTTTCACAACGTGTATTGTTTTTTTGTTGGACCCCTTTCGTAGACTGCGAGCCGTCTCTCTAGCTCTTTTGTTCAAAAATCAGTGACGGCGCGCTCGCGATAATGTGAGTGTGCGGGCAGCAATAGGAGCGAAATAACTCGCACCGGACTCGCTCGCACTAGCGCCCGCACAACTCGCTGCTAGCAACTTCGCCGCTCACACACCGGCATTATCGCGCGAAAGCTGTCTCACTGATTCTTGAGCAAAAGAGAGTGTGCTCCAAGTCTACCTATTTCGTTATCTGTTACCTAAACAGTGCATACCACTCCGTAACAAGACAAACAAATTCATACCCCTGACAGATATTGCCATTCTTGACTGTGGTTGACACGACTTAGCGTATGCGCATTCTGATGAGTTATAAAAGGGACCTTTACCAACGACTACGGGAACACAGTAGCGAAAACTTCACCCAAAAATAGGATTCGCGTTGTTTCAAATTTCATCGCTCTTATTCCTAGCCTGAATTTTATCCGATTACTTCGAGTCGTTATTACTCCCTCAGTAACGTCGATGCTGAGAGGAGAAAACGACTCGAGGCAATCGGATGAAATTCAGGACATCTTATTCCAACTCTTCCAGTTTTTCATAGGTTGGTGATTTTTCAGGAGTTGATTTCTAAAGGACTATATCCTACCTCACAAAAGAACAAGAAAATCGTCGTCTTGTGTTCCCGTCCTCCATAAAACGTGAAATCAGAAAGTTTCACGTCGTAGACGTGCAGCGGAAGCAGAGTTGTTGTTTTGCCAATCTAACCCTGTCGCTTTTTGCCGTCCTCTTTGCCGTCGCCGTTGTCTAAGGTCCTTAAGTCAGTCCCTCCTCGCTGTCCCTTTACTCATCCCCAGAACCCTCCCCTCTGCGCATGTCTGCCTCCAGTCCTTCCGAACTGGTCGAAGAATGGAAATATTTAGTTAAACAAGACTAACAATTTCTCAATTGCTCAATTTCTGGCTTTATTGAATAAAAAAACGATACAATTATCGAGTAATCTTGGATTGAATTTGACCGAGAAAGAGTAACATTCGCTGAAGAGTAGATGATAAGCAAGTAATAATGAAGTTATGAAGACATGTTTATAATAGTTCTTTCATTTAGTAAACTTGCTGTAGTTAATCCAGTCTTTTCCAGTCAGGATGAAAACTAACAAAAAAAGGAAAGAAAGAGAAAAGAGTAAATCTAATATAAAAGAAAGCCTGAAGAAAGTCCCCAAAGCCTCAAGTGTTAAAAGAGAGCCCTGTAACGTGTTTACTGAGTCTTAACCAACACGTTATAAGAAACCTCTTTTGAGTCTTCAATATTTAGGGAACAGGTTCTGTATTAAAGAAACAAACAAACAAAAAACAAACAAATGAAGGCATCAAAAGATAATAGATGTCTGTTCTAATGGTAACGTATTTTGGTAAAGTTGCTTTCATCTTTCAGAAAACTGTACAGGAGTCAAAGTCAATGTAAATGCAAAGGGATTAGCCTGCGTAGACAGCGTTTCTGCGCGAGTTCGTCGCGCGGCCGGTAGGATGGGACAACAGCAAAAAAGAGACTGAAAAATGAAATTTGGATAAAACAAAGTAGTTGCCTTAGAAATGAATAATGCATCATATGACGTCATGTTTGCCTTGGTTGAACAAACTCTAAGATTTGGCGGAGGGGCCGGGAAATTGTGGAGGCGATCTGTTAAGAGAGGAAGAAATGATGGTCTGTTGGGCATAATAATTTCAGGACTTGACTAGCTGTTCATAACTTAAATCGAACAAAATATTAGCCCCAGAAGGGGCGCGATATTCTCCAAGAGAAACTGAAGAAGGGTTAATCGTAGGTTTTAAAACAAGATTTGTTTCTCACTTTGTCAATCAAGACATGAGGTTTATTAAGCTAGTCTCTGCACACAGATATAACAGATGGCAAATGGATACTACCTTCTCAGCTCTTGCTGGGACCTTTGGAATAGTCCATTACGTAATAGCTGCATTGGTCATTGGGGTCCAGACCAACACTTATCATCTGTAAGTGAAAAGATAGCGAATCAATGTTTTCAATCTAATAAAGCTGTATTATATTTACAACTGCATCAGTCACAAAAGTTTCAGTCTCTTCGCGTCCATTCTACCATATCTTCTCACCACAACCTCTTCACTCGTCCCAAAATATTATATCATATGTAAGCTTCACACCTGTAGGGACGGTGGAAAATCTTTTTAACTTGGGTTAGGGGGGTAACTAGTGAGTTGAAATGAACAGGCTGTGGGAACTCGGCCTCTTGGTAAGTATTTATTTTTTCGGAAAAGTAAGAGGTCTCACCCCGCTAGTCCAGGCTCCCCGCCCTTGAATTACAAAGGAGTAACCAGCCTAGGACTCAAAACGTACTTATAAGGGTATTATTTCATGATGACTTGGCCACTTCAATTTCGTCCAAGAGGGATGGTTTTAGCTTATTAGCAATCTCATTCTTGATCCAACGACATTTTCTCTTTGTTTGCTCGAGCTTTATATCGCCCACCATGCTTGGAGATAAGACCACACATTGCTAATTTCGGCAATGAAGTGGTTAAGAAGACTAGAAAGCTGGTGACAATTGCACTCAGTACCTGAAAGCTTTTGGGTTTTTCCTGGTGGGGGTGGAGGAGGGGATGGAGTGAGCTCATCTGTAGTCTCTGTTACAAACATTTCCTCAGGATACCCAGATTCAACATCTTCATCACTCATTAGTTTGCACATCTTCGCATAATCCCGCCTCATAGACCTATGGAAGAAATAAACGAACATAATAAATCTCTTTCATCAGGAGCCCATCAAATGATGGGCTCCTGCTTTCAGCTATTCACCCAGAACATTATGGCTCCTGCTACTGCTTAAAAGCATAAAGTTCACCCCTCCCCCCTCTGCAAATACTGATTATGCAGCCGTACACTGCCCCCGCGGAGAAACCGGTGGGGGAATCATCATAACTATTTTTCTCTTTTTTTCTCCAAAAGAGTGACGTCAGATAACACGATTTGTACCAGGTTTTTGCAGACGTCCCCTTCGTTCCGAGTTGTCCGCGGAGAACGGCTACACAAGTGGGCTACCGTCAAAGCGTCCGTTCTCCCTTCAATGCTTACCTTGTGGTTATAAAAAAGGCCACCATCATGTTTGCCACAAACACTGCAGCGACAACGAAAAGTACAAGAAGAAGCATCAATAATCCGATAATTACAACCTCGTTATCAATGTGAGTTTGATCTCTGATTATTTTTATGTATGTATCTCCGCTTGTATCATCAGCCAATGAGGAACCTGTCCAGCGGACTCCCGACGAAAGTGGCATTTGAAACCGCTTTTTCAGGTCACCCTTGTTCGTTTTATGACTTCCGCCTTGTGGTTCCCCTCCCTTTTGTCTAGAAGAGTGGCCTTCTTTGTTACCTCCTCCAACTAGAACAAAAGAAAATTTAATTGTAAGTTATAATGTGCGAGTTCAGTTATAACAGCACAAATGTGCGTTATTAAAACTACAAAGAAAGAAGGAAGGCCAACATACCCCATCGTTAATTTGGGAAAAATTTAACGTTTGAAAAAGTATCTATCTAAAACATACCATTAACATTTTAACCAAGGAAAAGTCCTCGGGACGATGTTCTTGACATTAGATGGATGATAATTTCCACCGCAGATAAATTGAAAAAGTGTACACTCTAATCACTACGCACCAATGAAATTACGGTTTACATGACAAACGACCAATACATCACCGCTTAACGACAGACGATCCATAACATTCAGACTTAATTGACCAATCAGGTAAAAAACCAGAGTTTAATAGCATCAATTGACGTGATAAAACTCACTTTGACTCTGAAGATGACTACCGCACAGGTTGTCGAAACTTCAGTCACTGTCAACAACAACAGTCCTATTCAGGACTGCGTTCACCCGGACGATCATACTCAATCTACTCATGAAATGACTCCTGGGTTCATAGCTTTCACAGTTTCATACCCTGATTATTATAAAAGAGTTTGCGGAAACAGAGATAAAAATGATCAACCTCGTCTCCATGAATTTTTCCTTGAAATTGGGAGGAGCGGGATTTTCAATGGTTTGCTCACCGTTCTCGCTCCCTCTCAGGGAACCACGCCCACCTCCAGAGTGTTCAAAATCGTATTCATCAATTGTTGCTTGGTCGGGAGCGCCTTTCCTTTTCATGTCATCCAGAAAATCATCTGGGGATTGAAGTGAATCGTGTTCTCCGTCGTCCACGTCGTCATCCTCATCATCACTGCCCCACCCGTCATCACCAGGGACTGTAAAAGAGTGGTCATTCCTTTCGTCCTGATCCAGGCCACTTGCTTCATCCAAGTCATGCTTGGGATTATTAAATACTCTGCCGATTGCAGTAGCCACGTTATTGTATCTTAATTTGATAAGCCGCACAATCCTTTTAAAGAGACTCCTTTCAGTGTTGTACTTCCGTGACAACGAGCGTGGTCCCTCTGATGTAAATTCCCGACTTCCTTGTGATGTTCTTTCATGTGAACGCGAGTCAGCATTTTCAAGATTCTCCGGCGTTTGAAAAGTGTTCTTTTGTATTCGCGGGTATTCAGACCCACCAGCGTCCGCGCCAATTCCTTTGGTATTACTGTGCACCTCAGGTCTGGTTTTAAGAGACGCTAAAGACAATACTTTTGAAATGTCCTCTACCGCATAGTGTGGAATTGGAAGGGTGTTACCTGGAAATTTAACAAGAATAACAAGATTTATCATTAGCAAAAACCGTAGTTGTACCCGCAGTCGAGGCATAATTATGCGAGAAAACATTACCCTGGTTCTTTACCAAGCTGCTTTAAAGCCGTTAAGACAAAGGATTGTCAATAAAAAGTACAAGAAAAAATGCGCAAGAAGTTAAATATTATTCTTCATTTTAAGCTACAAGCTCAGTAAAATTGGTCACGTATCAAACAGCCAGGATGACATTTTCGGTGATTGTAGGCTGGGGAGACTTTGCACTCGGCTTTGTATGATGTGCCTGGCGGAATATGTTAATTTATCGCCCAGCCTTTTAATCTCTACATGCGTTTATTTGACTGTCAAAAGTATAGGGGGGGGCCGGAGCATTTGGAAAAATGGCTGATAAAAACCATTAAATCAATCTATTGCCTCCTGACCGCAACCATTTCCTGATATTGGGTCGGTCGGTCGGTCGGATTGAAAAAAAAAAAAACCTAAAAATAAATCACAAGAAGTCTCGAATCCCCCAGGACGACGTTAAAAGTTAACATTCACATATTTGGATTAACAAAATGTACTTTTTGTCCCAACGGCGGAAGATCGATGATTGTCGTCAAATATTTGCATTCATGCCCTTGTTCTGGGGAAATTTGTTGATACACTGCTACAACCAATATCAAAATCACAGAAATCATACCTTTCACTGAAAAGACAAATGTGAAAAACCGAACATTTCTTGGATGGACGTTTTGAGTCTTGACACAAATATACAGCAAAAAACGAGGGTATATATTGAAATTTTCTGTCACAAAGCATATGAAAATTTCTACAAAGACACCTATACGGGTATGTGTCGGAACTGCAATGGGCACAAAGACAATTCCTTTGCCAATATTTTCATGACATATAATTATTGAAACAATAACTCTAAGCAAAACTGTCCTTAGAACAACAGTTTGAAAATGCTACATACACGATATCTTTTCCCTATGGGACATAAGTAAAGCAGACATCGTGATTTTTTAAATTAACCGCCATTTGATTTAGAACGGTTGTATACAAAGGGATTCAAGAAAATATCCATTTTTAAACAAACAGAGGCGTTTTCTAAACAACCTTTGAAAAATTTAACAAAAAACGGGGACATAATTTGATTTCGAAAACGTGTCTAAACTCCCAAAACAAAACATACAAGAAAGCTCCAGTTTTTGAATAATAAAAATGGGATAACAAAACCAACCATTACCTTCCATTTTTTGACTTTTTTTTATTCAAGGACAGATTGCTTTTAAAAATACGGTTCAATGCGTTAACAATCAAACTGTTGTAATTCTCTTGTTTTATATAACAAGTGTGGCACCCTAGAACGGAGTATAAAAGATTGGCCCATTTCTAGAACAGTCCCTTATTTGGTTAAATCATCAGTTTTAGGGCGAATTCTTCATGCCCCGGAACGGGGGTATAAAAATTTAGCGCATTTCTCAATCGGGGTATCAATTATAGAGGAAATTTTTTTAGAACAGGGTGCCAATTTGGAGTCCCAGGCGGCACATACCCACCCAAGAAATACCCAATCGGGGTATCAATTATAGTGCCCCCAGGCCCCCACCCAAGAAATACCCAAGGGGATTCATGCTCAGCGTTCCCGAACTGAGTTCAAAGTACAGCGGTGAAAACAATTAGCAACAATTTTTTCGGACCAAAAAACTTACGGCAGATGTGTTGCAAAATTGTCCAGTGGCTCCTCATTTTACGTCCACGGCATCGCTACTTGATTGCCCATCAACTCGCATAATGCAAGTGCGAGTTGATGGACAATCAAGTAGCGATACCGTGAAAAAAAAATGGATCACACTGACTTGAAGTCTTACGTAACAAAGCTTTGTTTAACAATAAGTGAGAACACCATAATTATTTAATTGATAACGACACATCAACGCGTCAATTCCTGGCACTAAATCTGGCTAATTAAGGTCCGTTTTTCCAACTTAAAGATGAGCATTGCTCCGATGGTCACCCCTGAAGTAATGGCCGCCGTCCTTGATGACACAGCATGTTAGATAGTTCTCGGGTTTTCTTTAGGGCGAAGGGAGAAATTTGGAAGTGGCGCGCGCACACGCGGGGAAACAAGGAGAGAAAGTCTCCTCTTTCCTATAAAAGCTATGCAACTAAACTAGCGGGTGTTTCTTGGTGTTGCGGAAACTATTGTTTGTTAGCTTTTGTGTTGTGGTGTGGGTATTGTTCAGTGTCTTTTCAATCTTTTGTATTACGTCATTGGTGTCCGCAACACCAAGAAACCACCAAACTAGCTGGCCCTGCCATGCAAGATAATGGCGCATTTAATTTACAACGGGACGAGAACTTTACGCTAGACTATCAAGGAACAGAAAAGAGAGGACGCAGTAGACTCCAAGTCCTTTGCTTTTCATTTCTGGTTCCACTGTTTTCTTTGTGCTCGAGAAAAATTTTGAGCTCGACTTGTGGGCAAGTCTAAGGGCGCAGGGAAATTTAGCAGCGAGTAACAACAATAGCAACAACATCAACAACACCATCAACATCTGAAAAGTTGATCAATATGTTAAACTTTTTTTCCATGAAGAGAACCGAAAAGTAAGTGGTGAATTTTACCGAGTAGCAAGGTATTTCGTCTATTTTTTTGTTTTGCGGAAAAGTTTATCGACGTTATCGCATTGATATAGATTGCAAGAACACTGATAAGCTTACTGTCAGATGTGACGTCTGTTAAGAACGTCTCCTATTACGCCCAAAATTAAATGTAAAAAACAGAGACAGGTAAAGCAAAATAACTAACTTAGAAGCTGAAAAAGTACAACTTACCATGTGCAAGATATGCAACAAGAAAAATAGTCAAAATAATCCTCATACTTTCGGCATCGTAAGATTTTCCCGTGAACTCGCATGAGAATATCAGTCCAAATTAACTAATTTTGTGATACGTCATGAATACAAATTGCAAATGAAGTTCATTTAGTAATTTTAGGTCATTACCGTAGTTATTCGGTCATAAGGCGCACTCGGTTATAAGACGCACCCCAAACGGACCGGATAAGAAATCGGGCCCGATTTAAAACAAGTCGGACCCGATTAACTAAGGAGCAAGGAACTGGACCAAGTTAACTTTCGCAAAGACACCTGGGACTGTTTTTAGGGACCCCGGTCATCAGCTGACTGACATGTCCATAGTAACGTCCCTAGTAACGATTACAGACACAGAAACAGTGTTCCAGTCCTTTTCTTGTTTCTTAAGAGGCGAATTAAAGTTCAAACAATACATCATGACAGCACCAGGTACCCCAGATTAAATTCCCAGTTTATACCATGCTTAGGAGGTTAGTTTTAAAAGAAGCTGGTGTTACGCATGTGTCGGTGGAAGAGTAAAACGATACGGTCGTTGGACCCCTTTCGTAGACTGCAAGCAGTCTCTCTTTTGCTCGAAAATCAGTGATCGAGCGCGCGATAATGCGAATGTACGAGCAGCGAGTTGTGCGGGCACCATTACGAGTGAAATAACTCGTACTCGACTCGCTCGTACTGGCGCCCGCACAACTCGCCGCTAGCAACTTCGCCGCTCGCACACCAGCATTATCGCGCGAACGCCCTCTTACTGATTTTTGAGGAAAGGTTACCTACACGGTGCATGCCACTCCGTAACAAGACTAACAAATTCATACCCATGACAGATATTGCCTTTACTGTGGTTGACACGACTTAGCGCATGCGCATTCTGATGGGTTATAAAAGGGACCTTAAGCAACGACGACGGCAACAAGGATTTGCGCTGTTTCGAATTTCATCGCTCTTATTCCAACTCTTCCAGTTTGTCATAGTTTGGTGATTTTTTTCAGGAGTTGATTTCTAAAGGACTATATCTAACCTCACAAAAGAACAAGAAAATCGTCGTCTTGTGTTCCCGTCCTCCATAAAACGTGAAATCAGAAGGTTTCACGTCGTAGACGTGCAGCGGAAGCAGAGTTGTTGTTTTGCCAATCTAACCCTGTCGCTTTTTTGCCGTCCTCGTTGCCGTCGCCGTTGTCGTTGCTTAAGGTCCTTAAGTCAGTCCCTCCTCGCTGTCCCTTTACTCATCGCCAGAACCCTCCCCTCTGCGCATGTCTGTCTCCAGTCCTCCGAACTGGTCGAAGAATGGAAATATTTAGTTAAACAAGACTAACAATTTCTCAATTGCTCAATTTCTGGCTTTATTGAATAAAAAAAAAACGATACAATTATCGAGTAATCTTGGATTGAATTTGACCGAGAAAGAGTAACATTGAAGAGTAGATGATAAGGAAGTAATAATGAAGTTATGAAGACATGTTTCCAATAGTTCTTTCATTTATTAGTAAACTTGCTAGAGTTAATCCAGTCTTTTCCAGTCAGGATGAAAACTAACAAAAAAAGGAAAGAAAGAGAAAAGAGTAAATCTAATATAAAAGAAAGCCTGAAGAAAGTCCCCAAAGCCTTAAGTGTTAAAAGAGAGTCATGTAAAGTGTTTACTGAGTTTTAACTCACACGTTATATGAAACCTCTTTTAAAAAGAGGTTTCATATAACGTGTGAGTTAAAAGTCTTCAATATTTAGGGAATAGGTTCTGTATCATCAAGAAACAAACAAGTTCTACTGGTAACGTATTTTGGTAAAGTTGCTTTCAACTTTCAGGAAGTTGTACAGGATGTCAAGGTGAACGTAAATGCAAAGGGAATAGCCTGCGTAGATGGCGTTTCCGCGCGAATTCGTCGCGCAGAGTAAGATGGGACGAGAGCAAAACAGAGACTGAAAAAAATGAAATTTGGATCAAACAAAGTTGATACAATGTAAGTTGTCTCAATGATGAATAATGCATCATATGACGTCATGTTTGCCTTGCTTTAACAAACTCTAAAATTTGGCGGATGGGCCGGGAAATTGTGGAGGCGATCGATGGTCTGTTGAACACAATAATTTCAGGACTTGACTAGCTCTTCATGACCCTTAATTGAACAAAATTTTAGCCCCAGAAGGGCCGCGATATTCACCAAGAGAAAGTGAAGAAAGGTTGATCGTAGGTTACAAAACAAAATTGGTTTCTCACTTTGTTAATCAAGACATGTGGTTTATTAAGCTAGTCTCAGCACACAGATATGACAGATGGATACTACCTCCTCAGCTCTTGCTGGGACCTTTGGAATAGTCCATCACGTAATAGCTGCAATGGTCATTGGGGTCCAGACCAACACTTATCATCTGTCAGTGAAAAGATAGCGAATCAATGTCTTCAATCTAATAAACCTGTATTATATTTACAACCACATCAGTCGCAAATGTTTCAGTCACTTCATGTCTATACTATTATATCCTCTTACCCCGACTTAATTCTTCACTCGTTCAAAAATATTATATCCTATATAAGCTTCACACCCATAAGGACGGTGAAAAACTTTTCCAGGTTGGGTCAGGGGTGTGGGCGGGGGGGAGGGGGGGGGGTGACTAGTGACTTGAAGTGAGCAGGCTGTAGGAACTCTCTTCTTGGTAAGTCTTTAATTTTTTGGTAAAAATGGGAGGTTTAACCCCTCCCCCAGTCCCACTGGCTCCTCGCCTTTGAATTATAAAGGAGTAAGTCATACCTCTTCAACCAGCCTAGGACTCAAAACATACTTGTAAGGGTTCTTCATGATAACTGACTTCGCCACTTCAATTTCGTCCAGGAGGGATGGTCTTCGCTTACTAGCAATCTCATTCTTGATCCGGCGACATTTTTCCTTTGCCTGCTCGAGCTTTATGTCGTCCACCATGCTTGGAGATAAAACCAAACAAGCGTTCTGTATGTCCTCTATGAAAGACTTTCGCCTTGTTTTATTCGGTGCTCCTGGAATTGAATTAAACTGCTTGATTTTATGACGCCGTTCCGAAGCCCTTTCCTCGAACGCTTTATTCTTGCCATATTCGTCAATTATCTCTTTCGCCGCCAACAGACTATCAAGAAGAGAATTCCTCCTTTGAGAAGTCAGCTTATGAATTATTTTCCTCTTCTCAGCATTGCGATAGTCTCTTCTGCGGTCATCACGAAGGACCTCCTGCACTGGTCGGCTGCTTGTCCACTCCAAAATGCTTTTAACGTGTTTCCTCAGTCCTTTCGTTAATTTAGCAGGTTCTCTCGCTACTGCTAAAATAGAATCAAAATATGATATTTGCTGATGAAGGTTTACTATGAAGGTTTACTAACTGAGGTTTAAAAACGAAAAACGCCGATATGATTTCAGCCAAGAACAAGAAATATGATGACTTGTCAATTAATTAAATAACTAAGTATAAATTGAATTTTTCTGGCTTATTATGGCAGTGAACTGGTTAAGAAAACCGGAAAGCTGGTGTTGCACTATACCTGAAGGCTTTGCGGCATTTCCTGGTTGGGGTGGAGAAGGGTACGGAATGAACTCATCAGCAGTCTCTGTTACAAACATTTCCTCAGGATACCCTGGGTAAATAGGGTCAACTTGAACTCCTTGAAATTCATTATTGTACCACCCAGATTCAACATCTCCCTCACTCATTTGTTGGTTCAGCCTCGCATAATACCGCCTCACAGGCCTATGGAAGAAATTAATGAATATAATAAACCACTTTCATCTCTACCACCATGAAAATTATCGCTCTTGCTACTGTTTAAAAGCCTATAGTTCACCCCTCTCCCTCCTCAAATAGTGCATGTGTAGCCGTACCCTCCCCCCGCGCAGAAACCGGAGGGGGAAATCATCATATCCATTTTTTTTTTGCAAAAGGGTGACGTCACGTAACACGATTTGAACCAGGTCCGCAAAAGACGGCTACGCATGTAGGCTACCGTCAAACCGTCTGATCTCTCTTCAATGCTTACCATGTGTATATAAAACAGACTGCCATCGTGAGAACCAGCAACAGAGCAGTGGCAACGGAAAACACAAGAAAAAGCGTAAATGATCCGGTAACCTCATCATCATTTTTGTTCCTTTTCGATTTCTTTGCTTTAGCAACGCCATCTCGGCTTGTGTGATGAGCCAAGGAGAAACCTGTCCAGCGGACTCCTGAAACTGGCATTTGAAACCGTTTTTTCAGGTCATCCTTGTTCGTTTTATGACTTCCGCCTTCTGGTTCCTCTCGCTTTTGTCTAGAAGAGTGGCCTTCTTTGTTACCTCCAACTAGAACAAGAGGAAAGTAAATTGTAAGTTATTTGTGCGAGTTCAGTTATAAGAGCACAAACGTCAGTTATTAATACAAAGAAAGTAGGAAGGCCAACCTGCCCCATCGTTAAACTGGGAAAAATTTCAGGTTTGAAAAAGTATCTATCTCAAACGTACCATTGACATATTAACCAGGGAAAAGTCCTTGGAACGATGTCCTTGACACTAGATGGATGATAATTTCCACCGCAGATAAGTTCAAAAAGTGTACACTAATTATTACACACCATCGGGTGGGGCATGAGACAATTGGCCCCAAAAATTCGATCCTCTCCGCCCACCCATTTTTTAAGGAAAAAACCCTGAGGACGAGGTTAGAAGGGCAGGAGGTTTGCTTACCGTTCTCGATTCCTCTCAGGGAACCTCGCCCACCTCCAGAGTGTTCAAAACTGTATTCGTTATTTGTTGCTTGGTCGGGAGCGTCTTTTCCTTTAACGTCATCCAGAAAATCATTTGGAGATTCAAGTGAATCGTCCACGTCGTCATCCTCATCATCACTGCCCCACCCGTCAGACTTATAATCATTACCAGGGACTGTAGTAGAGTGGTCATTCCTTTCTTCCTGATCCAGGCCACTTGCTTCATCCAAGTCATGCTTGGGATCAGTAAATATTCTGCTGATTGCAGTAGCCACGTTATTGTATCTTAATTTGATAAGCCGCGCAATCTTTTTAGAGAGACTCCTTTCAGTGTTGTACTTCCGTGACAATGAGTGCAGTCCCTCTGATGTAAATTCCCGACTTCCTTGTGATGTTCTTTCATGTGAACGCGAGTCAGCATTTTCAAGCTTCACCGGCGTTTGAAAAGTGTTCTTTTGTATTCTCGGGTATTCAGACCCACCAGCGTCCGCACCAATTCCTTTGGTATTACTGTTCACCTCAGGTCTGGTTTTAACAGACGCTAAAGACAATACTTTTGAAATGTCCTCTTCGACATGATGTCGAATTGGAAGGGAGTTACCTGGAAATTTAACAAGAATAACAAGATTTATCATTAGCAAAAACGATAGTTGTACTCGCAGTCGAGGCATAATTATGCGAGAAAACATTACACTGGCTCTTTACCAAGCTGTTTTAAAGCCGTTAAGACAAGGATTGTCAATAAAAAGTACAAGAAAAAATGCGCGAGAAGTTAAATATTATTCATCATTTTAAGCTACAAGATTAGTATAATTGGTCACGTATCAAACAGCCAGGATGACATTTTCGGGGATTGTAGGCTGAGGAGACTTTGCACTGGGCTTTGCCAGGCCTGGGGCTTTGTATGATGTGCTTCGCGGAGTATGTTAATTTATCGCCCGGTCTTTTAATCTCTACATGCGTTTATTTGCCGTTAAATAATTAATCTATCACCTCCTGACCGCAACTGGATCCTACTCATCCCAACTGGGGATGAAAGATACGGAGGATCGATGATTCTCGTCAGCATTCATGCCACGGACCTACCACGCGTTCCCGAACTGACGAAAGAATTTGACGGAAACAATTTTCGGGACCAAAAAACTTATCCAGTAGCTCCTCATTTTACGTCCACGGCATCGATACTTGATTGCCCATCAACTCGCATAATGCAAGTGCGAGTTGATGGACAATCAAGTAGCGATACCGTGGGAAAAAATGGGTCACACTGACTCGAAGTCTTACGTAACAAAGCTTTATTAATAAGCAAGATTTGTTTAACAATAAGTGAGAACAGCATAATTATTTAATTGATAACAACACATCAACGCGTCAATTCCTGGCACTAAATCTGGCTATTTAAGGTCCGTTTTTCCAACTTAAAGATGAGCATTGCTCTGATGGTCACCCCTGGAGTAATGGCCGCCGTCCTTGATGACACAGCATGTTATATAGTTCTCCACGGTTTTCTTTAGGGCGAAGGGAGAAATTTGGAAGTGGCGCGCGCGCACGAGGGGAAACAAGGAGAGAAAGTCTCCTCTTTCCTATAAAAGCTAAGCAACTAAACTAGCTGGCCCCTGCCATGTAAGATAATAGCGTATTTGATTTACAACGGGACGAGATCTTTACGCCAGACTATCAAGGAACAGAAAAGAGAGGGCGCAGTAGACTCCAAGTCCTTCGCTTTTCATTTCTGGTTCCACTGTTTTTTTTGTGCTCGAGAAAAATTTTGAGCTCGACTTGTGGGCAAGTCTAAGGGCGCAGGGAAATTTAGCAGCGAGTAACAACAATAGCAACAACATCAACAACACCATCAACATCTGAAAAGTTGATCAATATGTTAAACTTTTTTTCCATGAAGAGAACCGAAAAGAAAGTGGTGAATTTTACGGAGTTTGGGGTTTTCTTTTTACTCTTTTGTCCTGGTTTTTGCAAGTACCGAATTTGTTTTGCGAAAACGTTCATCGACGTTATCGCATTGATATAGATTGCAAGAACCTATATAGGCTTACTGTCAGATATGACGTCTGTTAAGAAAGTCTCCTATTACGCCCAAAATTAAATGTAAAAAACAGAAACAGGTAAAGCAAAATAACTAACTTAGAAGCTGAAAAAGTACAACTTACCACGTGCAAGATATGCAACAAGAAAAATGGTCGAAATGATCCTCATTACGTTTTCGGCATCGTAAGATTTTCCCGTCAACTCGCATGAGAATATCAATCCAAACTAACTGAATTTTGAGATACGTCATGAATACAAATTGCAAATGAAGTTCATTTAGTAATTTTAGGTCATTAATTTCTAGTTAACTAAGGGCCTGTTTACATGGAGTTGGGGGATCCTAGATAGGTGAGGTAACATGTGGTGGATCACCCCACCTATCATGAAAACGTGATAAAATTGAAATGAAAGATTATATGGACAATAAATGAGAAGTCCAAAGACTACTGCAAAGCTGAACAGAGCAACGTGTTTTGTTTTTCCATAACAATATTTCCAACCTCTTTCGGCTGGCCATACCAGCCGTTATCTAGACAGGCGGGTTACCCCACCTACCTGCCCCCCCACCCCCTCCCCCCCTCCATGTAAACAGGCATTAAGTCCAATGAATAGGAAGACGCATCTTTACAGGTTAAGTATCAATCAGTCAAGTAAATATGATGATTCCAAAACAAACGTTTGAGTTCTTTTTTATTTATTATTTTTTTTAATTGCACTTTATTGACAATGATGACAGAAAAAACAAGAGTAAAAAGAAAAAAAGAAAAAAAAGTGCAAAAGAATAACAACAACCCGTGGCTGGGATTCCTGTGAAAACTTTAGCTGTCCAGTCTTTCGCCTCTATTTTCTAGACCGCGATAGACTGGTAGAGAATGTCTTTACAAGATGGCGGTGAAAATTACACAGTGTTTAAATATCAGCTATATTGCCATGTATTCTTTATTCCTCACCTTTTTTGCATGGATTTAATTAAGAATACGTAAAAAAGATTGAGGACATTGGCAAAAAAATTTTTAACAGCAATTTTGGCACCTGTCGACGTGGGCAACCTGAATCAACACTTGCATTTTTCTTGTGACAAAAGAGCAGTCCACAAAAGCAGTTTTAATAATTGAAACGGCGATATAATCTTCGATTCTCTTTGATAAAGAAGATGCACAAAGCTGTACTGACTTTGGGATTATTAATTAACATATGTTCCTCGATCTGTATCGTTTTCCTAAACAAATGGCTCTACGTTCATCATGGTTTTCCAAACATGACTCTAACGTGTATTCACTTCGTCACAACGTTCATCGGTCTTCGTCTGTGTGTGATGTTGGACGTCTTTAAACCCAAGAGACTATCTGTGGTGAAAGTGGTGCCGTTATCCTTAGCATTTTGCGGTTTTGTTGTATTTACTAACCTTAGTCTTCAAAACAACACAGTTGGGACATACCAACTAGCCAAAGCTCTAACTACCCCTACTATTGTGGCCATTCACACTGTGTTTTACAACAAAAGCTACTCAACGCAAATCAAGTTAACTGTGGTTAGTAGTGTTGACATTAACTTCCCGCTTTGACTTGCAGTTATGCTAAAAAGTAAACTGCAGAGATTTAGTTTGATAATCATTAATATTACAAGAATACATTGACAAAAAAAATATGCAATAGACTCTTCAGTCAGGAAGAAAGTTGCTGCGCTGTAGTGATGAAAGGGCATGATGTTCTTTGTTGACACTTGCCTAGATCCCATAGCCTTAACCCCAGTCTCCATCATCGCCGTTATTAGGTTTGCCACACATTTCCCCTCCTATTAATCCGGATGGATTGCATGATCAATGATACTAATAATAGCTGCGAAGGAGAATACATCCCTCCTTTAACGGTCATGTTTTATGGTGACATAACCAAGACAAAGAGACCCACTTCCCTCAGACAAAATAAAAGAAATTTTGGCTTGTAGACTATTATAATAGTGACAAAGAACATTAATGTAAGTTGTATGTAACAATTCATGTCATGAACAATTCAATATTAGGAGCAGTGCCGGATACAGACCTTGAAATAAAGGGGGGGGGGGGGGGAGGTCCGGTCTCCAAAAAATTCTTTTTGGCCTTTTAGGCCCCAGTTTGGTCTAAAAATAAGGGGGCTCCCAGGCCCCTCCCCTGGATCTGCCAGTGAGGAGATAAGTGCACTTTTTAACCTATCTTGCATGTATTTTACAGATTCCAATTATAGTTGGTGTATTTTTGAATTCTTATTACGATGTTAAATTCAACTGGGTTGGAACTGTCTATGCAAGTCTGGGTGTCATTGTAACCTCTGTCTATCAAGTGGTAAGTATTTTGTAATGATCTATGACAGAATACATCTGTATCAAGTATTAACAACTTTATGTTGCATCAGTTTTGCAGCAATTTGTAGTAGTCTCTTAGTTCTGGGTTGCTGACTTGTAATAATTAATTTTCTAGTGGGTCGGAACAAAACAGAAAGAATTCCAAGTCAATTCTATGCAGCTTCTCTATTACCAGGTATAATAATATTATTATTGGCATTACAATATTTTGTATATATTAAGAAGTAATTTATATATATTATTGTTGTAGTACTGAGAGTCTGTTGATTGTGAATGCCAAGGTCGTGGTAATTCTTTAAAGAGTTTATGGTGAATAAAAACCAAAAAATAAAAAAAATAAAAAATAAAACAATAGCAACAACAAAAAAACGAGTATTATGCAAACAAGAAACCAACACACATTTCAAGCCAGAAAACCTAGCAGAGAATCGTATGCCTTGACAGAGGTACTAGTGGACTTTCCCTGTATAGACCTTGTAATAATACAAAGGACTTCCCAGCGGAGTATCAGCAGATCAGGGTGAGGATTCCTGAGAACTCAATACAGTTGGAAAATGTTGAATTATTAAAGAACATATGAAAACCATGACCTTCATTCCTAAACCATTGCCTGTCTATGTGCAAGAGGAAAATTTTGATGTATATCTACATTATCTGTATTTGTCTTGATGTATATCTACATTATCTGTATTTGTCTTGACGTTCTTTCAGGCTCCTTTATCAGCAGGCATGCTAGCAATAGCTGTTCTCATCTTTGAACCTGTCACAGCAGAAAATGGACTGCTGTCATCTTGGTCCATGTCTTCTGTGGTGAGTAAAACCATTATCGTACCATTACGTATGCCTCATGAAAAATATACTGCAAAGAGAGTTATATGTAATTTATTTTCTGATTTTACTTGGTTAAAGAGTTCTGACTAGCTATGGCTCATGTGTTAGGTAAACAGGGTGGTGTGGCCTTCCATTACATTTCACTGGTGACCAACCTAAAAAATGCATTCATCCAAAAACATTGCAAAAAGAACTAGATGCAGATGCCTAAACCTCATTTTCAGCATATGTCTTCTGGACCTGCCATCTTACTACTACTATCTAAAGAAGACAATGATGACAGCAGAGGACTGCAAATGGCAATGCTGTTGGAGGATTTATATTAGAGATTTTATCATCAGATAAATGTTCCTCCAATGGCAAAATTATTAAGCAAAACAGACAAATTAAGAGAGCCATTTAGCAAAAAGATCTAAAATATTTTGGTTGGAATTCTTTTTTATAGTTAGTGGTGTTAGCCTCAGGCGTTGTGGCTTTTAGCGTCAATCTGTCAATCTACTGGATCATTGGTAACACCTCACCTGTAACGTATCCTTTACTCCACCTAGGACAGTCTTAATGTAGCTTTAATAATAACATAGTATATAGTCCTGATTTAATTTATTATAAAACCCTTCTCAATAATTTGAACCAAAGCTGACTTCCTTTTCAAAATTAGTGACCCCAATGTTTTGAAACCTCCCAAAACCTTTTTTGGACAAATTTCCTTTTCCCCAGAGTTACGGAGTGTGAGAAACACAAACTGAGCATAAGAAATTTGCTTCAATCTAATCTCGTTATTTTAGAGAAAAGAGCCAAGGCCCTGATGAAGGGTTAGTGTGATTTTTCGAGATGTGTCCACAAAAATTATGACCAATGTTAAGTAAATCCAGAGTAAGGAGAATATTTCTATGTAAGGAAAGATTGAAATAACTATGGAAGACTATTTTAATTTGCCAAGATCTATTATGATCTCAAGCAACACTACACCATAGATGGCTGCCCTGCCCCTACTATGATTACAGTGTGACAAAGTTATTATTACTGTTTATGCATTTGTCCTTAACTAGTGACCAATAAAATATATAAAGGTATAACATGGTTGGACATTTAAAGTTCTGCATCATTCTCTTGGGAGGCTACTTTATATTTCACGACCCACTGGCCATCAATCAAATGTTGGGTGTGGCCACCACGCTGTCTGGGATTATTGCTTATACACATTTTAAACTTGCTGAGCAGAATGTTCTCAAACTACCCACTGTCAACAAGATTTGATGACAAGATTAAGAGAAAAATGAGGTGCTAAGGAACATTATAAAATAATAAAATTATTCTATCTAAATTTAGTCTGTTCACAGACCTTCTATTTTCTTTTAAGAAACATGTGGAGTGCCCAAATGGAGATAAAAACCATGGAGAACTTACTGACCACTAAGTCAAGGAGGTCAGGCTCAGCAAGTGCTCTTAGGCGTGAGCAAAGCAAGTGCACTCAACAAATTTGTCCAAAAAAAGGAAAAAAAATAAATCCATGTACAAGCAGGCATATCTTAAGAAGGCTAATGTATATTATCATGTTGCATAATAATGTGAAAAACACTGCTTGTACATTCTTCTTACATTAAAGAGGCCTATTAAATGGATGATAAGTTAGTTAGCTTTGGAAATAATAATATTATCAGTATTTCAATGATTACTGGAAATTAAGTTATGTTTCACACATGACCATGATGACTTCAAGATATTGTGAATTCATTATGAAAATACATGTATCCACACAAGGCTTACCAGATAACTTACACAAGCAAGAACTGAAGTAACATGTAAACTTAAATTATTGAAGTCATCTATTGGAGATTTGGTAACATTATAACAATTTATTTCTCAGGGAGAGGTTTATTGAATGAATTTTAAAACCTTTTTTTCATGAATTGATTACTAAATGAAAGATTTAACTTATAATCTTTGGAAGAGAAAAATTATGCATTGTAAGTTACGGCACTTAATTTATTATGTCACTTTTTGTTACTTCTGCTTTTTTCATGCCAGAGATATAAAAGCATGATATAAATAATTAATATGAATACAGGTCAATAATATTAAACTTAATTTATTTACTGTATATCTAGTAAATAATAATTGGTAATTAATTTCAACTACTACAACATAGATACTGACTGAACATTAATTTTTTGTCCAGTATCTTTAGAAAGTGGCTTTTACTCGGTGTACGAATAATTATATGTATTACACTGCTGCCCCATTGCAACCTAACAGTAGGTTATTAACACTATAACATTAATATGAGCAATTAGACCTTTTGGCAATCATCTCATGCTTCTTCCTCAGATAAAAAGGTATGTCGTGAGGATTATTAAAGTCATGAAAGACATTTTACAAACTAGAAAAACTTTGTAGTGTTTTGAAATAAAAACCAGTTACATACATGAAAAGTTCCTGATTTTATTCTCTTGATTTTTATATTAAAACTACACTTTCAGAATTTCACAGTTCCTGTTACAAGTTTAACAAAAACAAGGAAAATAAGAAATTCTCATGCAAGGTCTGCTTTAAAATCCTGAAAACACTTGTTACTGCCAAATTTCAGTTGGTCAGAATTAGCAAGAAGAGTTCTCAAAAAGCTCAGTAAAGCAATATGTCTTTAGTGCATAGCAATAGAATCCAAAATTCAACGTGGCTGCCAACTGATTTGTTGTATTGAGAACCATCAGTAATAACAGAATTACCATGATCCTTTTTTAATGTATGTTCGAACAGTTCCACTTTCTTTCTTCAAAACCATTCTTGACAAGTTGACACTCAGCAAGTGTTTCATTACCTTCTTGCTTTTTTAAATCCCCACCTCTTTTTTCCAGGGAGCATTAGTCAGCTTTTTTATTTTAAAGCTTGCATCATTTCTCTGGCTGATTAAAAAAAGCTGGGAGGAAAGTTTGGATGTGGTCCAGATCTCCTTCCCCGTCTTGATGGTCCTGGCATTTGATTCATGTCTGGTAAAGGCCCAAAAGGGTCAAAACGAGGTCTCGGCATCCCTGGGGCAGGTGCGGCACCAGGCATAGGGTTGATACCACCAGGCATGAATGGTAAATTGGGATAAAGATCACTATGACCACCTGAAAATAATAATAATTCTTATTTTCACCTTTAAAAAAAACATAACTACAGGATCTACTCGTAACTTTCCAGTTGAATGTCTCAATCCCATATTTACATTTAATTTTTGTGGTATGTGACTTTTTGACCATTAAATTTCAAGAAACACTTCTACTTTGGCATGATAATATGCACTGGAATGGCCTGCATTAGCAGAGGACATGGTTGAGTTTAAGTGTATAATTTCACAACATGCACTCAATTTCTCCTGAGAGCAAGAAAAGACCAACAGTTACACAGCTTAACTTTAGCAGACTTTTTCATCCTGTACAAAGTGATTGTCAAAAATTAATGATCTTTCAATGAAACTTGAGAGACCAAAACAAGAGGCAAAAGATCGCAATGGAAATGATCCAAAGTTTTTGTGCAAAACTACTTACCTATTATGCCTGGAGGGAATGTGTCCCCCCTGAAAGGCTGTGTACCAATCCCATGCCCAGGGGGGTACAGTGCAGGGGGTGGCACCAGCAATTGTAATCTCATCTTTTCATGTGCTTTTTTTGCTCGGTATAATGAGATGTACTCCTAAAATATATAAAATTTGTGTTCCAGTCATAAATAATAATCACTTGATGCTTAAATTGCCATTGTTTGCAAGAATCATAAAACAAGTTATCTAAAATTTTTATAGCACACCATTTTCCAGCTTTTGGCTTGATCTTTTGTCTTCCTCCCTGCAATGAAAAAAAAAACATTAATTTAAACAAAATAAAACAAACAACAACAACAACAAAATAACCAACCAATCAAATGAAAAAACCTGCCTCGATACTAATCTTGGCCTCCTTTTTTCCTGTTCAGTTGTCCAGCACAAGCAGATTTTCTTCTGGGGCAAGTAACTTTTAAATTCACTTGCCCAAAGGGCAAGGGTCTAAGCAGGTTATCTTCTAACTAAATCATTAACTAAGAAGAGCAAGAAGTGACCCAGGGCAAGCAAGATGTGAGGGCTGCTTTCCCAAAGGACAAGCTGGCATTAAATTTTTTTTAGCCCTGTAAACCATGCTAAACAAAACAGCAACATCTAAAAGTATTTCTCCACAGATTTCATTTAGATCATGCTACAGGATTTTGTCCTCTACCTTAATTAGAGATATAAATTGCATGTTTCTGTAATAATTTCATGCTGTATCTCATCCCCAACACAGTATTTTTTTAACCAGAGTTCCAGAATGAATGAATTTTTGTGATAGAACTCTAGGGGGTGGTCATACCCCTGGTACTTACCAAAATCTCTAAAAACAAGGTGCTGCCACAGGGAAGGATCATTGGACAGAGATCGCATTTCCTGACAAGTGCTAGCTACATTCAATATGGAAGGAACAGGAAGCCTTCCAAGAACCATTAGCTGCAAAACCCAGAAAAAAACTTCACATGTATCATTATAAATACATGTAATAAAATAAATATGCAACTACTAAAAATGTTTCCTCATTTCCTACATGTATCTCATTCTAGTGAACTCTTAAGTTAAACTGAACTATTAATTTAATAGCTTTAAATTTTTTATGTAAACTACCTGGTAAGTAGAATGATTGAAATAAATTTTGAGCATCAAAATGTAACTTTAAGGTGCAAACAAAGTTGAGTTGGCTGTGTCTAAATAAATAATAAAAAAACTAAAATAAAAACAAACTTTTTATGCCTCGTGGCCAAAGAAGAACCAGTAAATGACTAAAAAGATATCCAGTACAACAGAATACCTTCACTTCTGCAGGAAGAGCCATGAGACCACATAGCTGAGGCAATCCAAGAGCTTGAAAAAATAAAAAGGTGTAATATATTATACGGTAGCATGTAATAATAACAGTACTAATAATAATAATATATTTATACTGATAAAAATACATAACATCATTACACTAGCTAATAGCAAATCTTCTAACAATGAAAACATGATTATGAAAGATAAAATAACTTCAGTCATTTGAGAACAATTTAAGTAATATCATTCTCTGTAACAGGAGAATAAAAACCTTCTTACCAGATCTCATGAAGGCCAGCAGAGGATAAGCCACTTGATCCTTAATGAGTCTTGAAAGCCGATGAAGGTTATAATACACAGTAGATGCTCCTAAAATTTTAACAACTACTGATTACAAAGAAAATTTAAAAGGTCCATCAGACAGATCAGAGCTACTGTAAAAACAGACTTATCTTCCTGTTAAAGAAAAGTTCTGCAGTTCATTGACTATAAAGTACTCCAGGGAATAGAAAGGCTTGTAAGTATCCCAAAAGAGCTGAAAAGTGACAAGAATACCTACCACTGGTTTTGAGGTCTACATTCCCCCGCACAAAATCGGTCGGCTGCAATCTACACTGGTATATTTCACTTCCTGACACTGAATCAACAATACCTGGAATCCAAAATAACGATACTGCTACTGAGCACAACATAATTATCCCAGAGCCCTGCCCTGTGACTAAGCAAAAACACACAGTCCACAGAATTGTCCTGAAGTGTTTCTTTTGTAACAATGTAGATCTTAACATTATTTCACGACACCATCCAAGTAGTACTTTCCTATAAAGATTACAGTTTTCAAATCTTGCAAAAAACTGCAGTTTTTATTGGAAGCAAAGCTAACAAGGTTACAAAAAAGGAGGGAATTCACTCTGACATACCATGTACCATAACGTAAGGTCCTAAAGAGGTACAAGTCAAAGACGAGGTCAAACCAGGACAAGACGCATGCGTGTATTTTATTCTTGCAGTTCCACCCTTTTTCCAATCCACAGGAAGAACAATCCTCTGTGATCTGTCAGCTTCGCTGCTTTCCTTTAAATTCTGTCAAAATTAATAGCAACATCTCGTTGAGGATACGTTAAACAGTTAAATTTTTGTTTTTAACCGTCATTGTCAATCATGGTATATCTGTTGGATGGTAAAATCTGTTTTCAGCTTAAACCAAGATTTTCCTTTGTCTCCTTTGAGAGGCTGAACAATGGTTTAACCTTGGAATGAATTTTGCCTTCACCATATCTACTATCATACAATAATTTGTTGTAAAGTACCTCTGATGCACATATGTATCCCGTCTCTAACATTAAGAAGTGAATCACAATCCAAGAAGCCTCATGAATTGTTCCAACTTCTGCAGCTCTGTAGAGATCTTCCAGAGCTTCTGGAATTCCCTCTCGGCAAAGGAGGACATGCGATCTGAGTGATGTAACAGATGCTGTACTAGTCTGTGGCACGTCATGCTGCATGCTCGTGGATGCTTCTGAATTACACTAAAGAAGTTTTAACACAAGATGACTGATATAAATGCCCAAAAATATACAGTGGTAACTCTTAAATGGAATACTCTATTTGAAGGGTGAGGGGGGGGGTAAAAAAAGTTCCTTCTTGCTTTGTGCATTAGATACTGAGTTAAGTTCAGGCTGAATGTCCCCCCCCCGGCTCATATGTATTGGGTACCTTTAGGGACCAGTCATAATTTAAGTTGGAGGGGGGGGGAGGAGAAATTGTTTTTTATTCCAATTTTTTTCCAGACCCCCACTAATAGCACCCATGTTTTTTAGGTACCCCCCCTTCAATCATGTTAAAAGATTTAAGGGCCCCCCTTTCTTATACATAATACCCAAATGGTAATAACAAATGACATTTTCTTTACTTTACCGTTCTTACTCACTGTCACCTCCGAATGTGCCAACTAACAACAGAGAAGCACTTCACACTAAACTGAGAAAGAGATTTCACCTAGAGCCTCTCAAACAGCTTATAGAGCAAGGATATATCAGTGATTGTGTTATAATTGAGATAAGACAAGCCATCGAAAGGTGAGAGGCCGACAGGACCGCTTCAAGGAAGAAAGAAGATAATCAGCCAAAGCTTACTGCTTTTTATATGAGCAGTACATGCTCTAATAGCGAAAAACTTGACGGTGACACAGACAGTGAGTCCGCATCAACCTCATCTACAAATAATTGATTCGGATAGTGACATTGCATAACATGACTTTATGCATGTAATCATTTGTTAAAATGCCGATGAAATTGTTTCAGTGTTACACAATAATGGACGTTGTGTTGATGCACCTACTATTTGAGCATTAAATCTTTTTGTAAAAATGCTGATTAAATTGTTTTAGTATTACACAATATAGGACTTTGTGTAAAACTGAATCAAAATCAGGTCCTGTAATACTCAAACATCATGCTGCTCAGTAGGGAAGCTACTTAAAAGAAACTTGAAGACCCCCAAGGTCATCTTTTGGCATTTTAAGGCCCCCCATATTCCATCCAAAAAAAATTGAAGGCCCCCCAATTTCTCCTCCACCCCCTCCTCCAACTTAAATTATGACTGGTCCCTTATCTACCTACTTGCCACCTGTATGTAGAAAGTGTCCAAGTTGAAGAAAGTTAGAGTTCTGGTTCCCTCAACAACAAAAGAATGTGTTTCATATATTGGGTAATTTGAACAAAAGTGAATGACCTAGTGAACACATTGATACTTGACAACTTGCAGGAAATTGTTGCCTTCTATAGCCTTAAGGTATACAAAAGATATGAGTATGACGCTTCCTGTAGTTACGTGAAATAGAAGGACATCTCAGGTTAATTCTAGGAGCCTTATTTAAAACCCATACTTCAATATGGTGTAATGATTTATCATGTTTATTACCTGGAGGGATTCACCTCTTTCAGGAGAGTGTTGGAAAGGGTGTTGATCAGCAAGGAAATCTGCATATTGATTTCCTGGGTTATCTCCATGTTGCTCCGAGTCTCTGGCAGTTATCACATAGATCAAGTCCCCATTCACTATTCCCAAGTCTTTGAGTGGGACACTATCATTATCCAAAATATCCTGGCCATTAAGACTTAAGTTAAAGTTGTTTCTTCTACCAAAAAACAGAAAGAAAAGAGAATTGACACAGTTTCAATAGTAAGTTGTCAAGTATGGAATGATACTGAGAACAAATTTCCATGCAATGCCAAATCAATAGACCTTTTCACCGATACGGCGGCCATATTGAATTAATTAGATTTAAGGAGTATTGTGCATGAGAACGATCCAGTATACTCACTAGTATTTACGTGCACTTTTCAGGCGAACATTATTTTTCTTTAAGTTTTCCTACAAAAAGATTGTAATGGGAAAAAAGATCATTGTGCCCTGTTTGGATGTAATAATGATTACCTTTTTTCTGAGAATTATACAGTGAAGTTCTCTGTTTACCTGAAAAGCGTGCATAAATACTGAGCAAGTGCCCCCTAGGCATCCTATAATACTCCTTAAATCTAATAAATTCAATATGGCCACTGTATCAGTAAAAAGGTCTATTGCAGGTGTGCCCATGTCCCCCTGTCCCGGCCTAAAGGGGAGGGGGGCAACTTGAGCTGCCAAATGGGGGGGCATGGGCACACCTGGAATTGATTGATGCATTATTCATTTAATAACATGAATCCATATCATGGTTTTGTGCAAACCAAAGAAAAACAAAACAACAGAATACCTCTGGCACTAGATGAAAAAGCAAGAAAGAGTATTGCATAATCAAAGCAGAGAGTCATACAAATGGAAAAGATTTTTTACGGTCACTAGAGACAGAATCGATGTACTTACCTCAGGTTAAACCTTCTGCATACAGCTTCCCGGCAATCATTAAGGGTAATTGCATCCCCTAATAATTCCAGAACTTCCCGTTGCCTGTTAAAAACAGCTCTCAGTTTCATTTCATCTCCGAGTTAGCTCAAACTCTGGAAAGTACTCGTAAAGTTTGCTAACTCATCGTCAGCGGCCATTTTGTTTTTATATGCGCAAGGAACTGTGGGTACAATTAACACTAAATGACACAAATTTCCCTAGGGGAGGAGGGAGAGTGAATTTTCTACTTTAAACAAGATTTGTGGTTCAGTAAAAATTTTTCCACTTGAACTTGATGATCTCCTTGTAACTCTACAGTTTCTCCTCTAACAACTCCTCCAGTTCCGATTTTCTTTTTCAACTCTTGAAGTAAGATGTTGGCATCCCCCGACACATTAGCGATTACTGTGACCTTTTTGCCCTTGGCGCGATTCTCATACGAAATAGGCAGCTTTCCTTTCTTTGTTCTTTGTACGAAAAATCCAAGGGTTTTTTCTGATGTTTCCCCTTGTTTCAAATTAGCTTCTGCTCCTGAGCCAAGACCTGAGAAACCACACAGGAAATTGTCTTGTGGAATCGTTCGATGCAATTCAAAAGACGAATTTTAAACGGCACATGAATTAGCATATATGATTTTTACAGGCTTGAGAATCATCGGGAGAATTGCCCGCTGATTTTGTCAAGCGAATCAAATTGTCCCGGAATCATATGTGATGATGACTGAAGTTCTGCTAAATCATAAGTGATGATTTTTTCAGCAAAGTCAAAATCATTCGTGGAATCATAACGTACGAAACCGTGAGTGTCTGGAATCATCACCAGGCGATTCGCTGCTGTTATGAAATCGTTTGTGGAATCATAACCTTGTGCCCAACAAAAGGGAACAAAAGGGAACGTTGGATTCACGAGTGAAAGATCGGTCGTCGAACTGTCATAAACCGAACTAGGATCAGACGAAGTTGAAACGAAGACAAATATGAAAAGTGTAGCAGAAGAAGTCTTGTAGTTCCTAGCGTGCGCGCATAAACTAAAACTTGAAAGGGGCTTGGTACGAGATTTGACCGTGTACCTCTGATCTAACACGAAAATCCTATTGTATGTTATTGAAACTTTCAAGTTGAAATCGTTTAATCTGAAGGTAGTTGAAGATCGTGATCATCCATGGATGCAGGCCGGACCTTTTAAAGGTAAACTTTCTTGCTTTGCTTCATAAATAAAATGGTAATACATTTACATTCAAGTGATGGTACTCATAACAGAAGCTTGTTAACGTCAAAAACATGTGTATACTACCTTTATACTGTTGCCTTTTGCTGGTTGGGTAATTTATTTAACACAAAGAGGCCTTCACACACAAAAAAAAAACAATACCACTGATGTTATAATTTGTATGATAGCAGGAAGACCTGTTTTACATCAAACTAAATAAAACAGCTCATTTTGTATAGCAGAAAATAACACTAATTTGCATACTTTTTGGAGTAAATTTGACAGAATATTGAATGACAATATCTATATTAATAATATAACCTTAAATTAATTTAAACTATAAATCACAATTTACAATGGTGATTTGAACAATGCACAAAGTAATTAAGTGTATAAAATCATTCATTTGAGTTAAACAACATTTTAAATGACACCAAACCAGTTAAGGTATATGATTATTATTATGATGATTGTTGGTGATAGCCCCCATTCAATTATCCCCATTATTTGAAATCTGGATTACCCTTGGGGTCAAACAGGTCCAAATTAAAATGAAACACAAATATTTTAATTAATCAGAGCTGTTCTCTAGCAGAGCCCATTGGCTCCTATAAGAGGGGGCTGAATAGGGGTATGCAAATCCGCCAATCCGTTATGATTTATTGGCCAAATCCGCCGTTAAAATTTCGCCCTGAATCCGAAATCTGGGCAAAAAAATTTTTATTACACGCAAAGTCCAAAATCCGGGCCTAAAAAGTCGATGAATCCGCAATCCGCTGCAATTACAGGATCCGGAAATCCGTTAAAATCTTGCTTTGAATCCAAAATGTGGGCAAAAATATTTTCAAAATCCGCCGATCCATTCGCCTATTCACCCCGCTCCTATAACTCTTGCTCTCAAGCAACTTGAAAGTCTTACTTTTTTCATTCAAATCATATGCTGGGCACCCTAGGTGTTACAGCCTTAGAGCACAACCTTGAACTTTAATAAAATGTTGCACTTAAGTGACAATGAGTTTTTAAGATCCAGACTTGATCAAACAACACAGAAATTTTGAAATGTTAAGTACAATTTGTTCTCTTATTTTACTTTTTGTACTTGTCATAGATATTGACTATCAGTCGAGAATTATATATAGGCCTGAACACCCAACAACTGATTTTTTTTTAAAGGCAGGGCTGCCACCAGTGGCCAAGGAGCAAGCATTTTACTTTTTGAGCATGATCCTTGGTTACTTTTTGTAGGGAAACCAAGGCAAAATGGAACCAAATGCAAAGAACTTTCTAACTTTTCGATTCCCCACCTTTTTAAATATGAACTGTCCATAATATATAGAGACGTGTCCGTATTATAGAGGTGTTTATAAGGAGAGGTTAGACGGTAATGTCTAATGGTAAACTGATGACATCACATGTGTAGGAAGAGCCCAATGAGAGTGGATGCACATTGACAATTTTGGGCAGCTCATTCAAATGTATTTTCAAGGGTTTTTTTTGCCCATTTGGTACTTTTTCAGTTTGCAGACTTTTTTGTCTACTTTTAAAAGTGCATGTTTCACAGAGTTTTGGATCCAAAATTCAAGACTTTTTTCAGACTTTTTCCAAAACAAAAATTATTATTTCTCTTCCAGACTCAAGTTTATCAAATAAAGGTGACAAACAGAGACCTTTAAAAAACACAGGAATCAAGCTTTTCTCATGATGCACTATAGTAATCACAGTGCAAAAAATTTACCCTTTTTTCCTGTCCTTTTTATGAACAATGCCTGTTTAAGCTTTCCAAGCCCTTTTCTGTTCACTACAAGGCCAAAAAGACTTAAACCTATCGAAAATGTTGTTTCTTTTAGTTAGTAAATAGATAAAGAATACAAAATGTGAGGTGCAAAATGTGTTTTCCAAATGGTGAACAGATACCTTTCACTTAATCTTATCTTCTTTTCTTTCACCCCCCTTTAACTTGATAATGTAGTTCTCTTCAGTGTGGGAATAGTTTTGAAGGAAGATTATATTGTACAAATAAATGAACAAGATTTTCATAGCAATTTTCCGGTCACCTTTGCAATGTTTTCTCTGGCACAAATATAGTAATTTCATAGGTATGTGGAAGGATCAGGGTCAGTATGGGTGCAGTGTCCATTATTGTTTTATTTCATATTATTTTACAATTACATATTTTGCAGCAATTAAAGTATATAGTTGTTAGTGGTAAACAATTTCAAACATTAAATCAAATATATTGAGACTGTCAAACTATAATATTATTCCAAACTGTATAATTTGGAAGCGAATTAAAATAACTATTATTGTACATGTATGAAGTGCTCGTTAGTAAACAGAAATGATGTAAATGAGTAGTGTCTCCTTATTGTGCTATTTAGTGATTTGCATACAGCTGTACTCTAGTCATCGACTCAGATTAGCTACCAGAAGATAGTTCTTTTTGACTGGAAGCAAAGTCACTCTCCGTATCAACCGTCTAACATTTACGATGTGCTCTCCACGATAAAAGCTGTTCTTTACTGCAGGAAGTCCAGAGAGTTTATCCGCATCATGGTTCTTGTTGGCAAAATAAAACCAGTCCACACTTGCAAGGTGATGAACTCGCATACTAGTAGCTCCCATCAAGTCTTTCAAATGAACTCGTGCAGTAAAAAAATAACGTACCTGAACAAAGTAAGGAGAAACCTCAGTTTTACTTTCAGGTTTGTCTAATTTGTCCACACAATAGATCAGAGCTGTCTGGCCCCTGTCAGTTCTGTTGTAAGAGGATGAAAAGGTGGAACCATTTACCATACATCTCGCAAAGGTATCTATATGGGGCTCGACAAACAGAAATGAATCCTCATGGATGTCTGACATGTAATCTTTCAGCTCATTGTAAAATTCAAACTTTGGTCTTTGCTTGATCCTCATTGGAGGAAGCATCTTAACAGGCCATTTTTGGTCGATTTTGTCTATGTCCTCTTGTTCAACTGTCATTTGGATGTCCAAATTGGTCACAGATGTTCTTGAGGGTGCCATGTACATATTTTCTGTCCCTCTGAAAAGACGTTCTGCTTGGATTCTTTGAAAAACTGACCATTCTTCTGTTCCCTCTTCCAGATGTTCACTGTCTTTGTGTTTCATAAGTGGCTTTAAAGAAGAGGGAATATCATTTTCACTTACCTTGTCAAGTAGTGGTAACTTTGCAACATCAATTAAATGCTGCATGACAAAGTTTCTAAAAATCTCCTCTTCTACAGTTTTCCCACTGGTGTTGACATCTCCTAACAGACCAATGTGTCTTTCATAAGGAAAGCACCACCAGCTGGTAGGAGGTCCCCAATTCTGAATGAGCTCAGGGATGTGTAGAGTCATGTGATAATTAACACTTACCTCAAATTTTCCAAACACTTTTGAATACAGTCCATGGTGCTTGTGAAGAAGACAAGAGATATTGTTTACTTCATCCCTTGTTATGGGGTCTTTCAGAAGCAGTTCAACTGCCTCAGCAAGACATTTTGTGGCATCATAAAATCTGTTTGGTACTACATTCCATAAACAGACCCTTGCATAGGTGACAATGAAATTCTTCCACTGTTGTGCTTTCAACCCTCGCGCTGACATCTTGTCGAGCATTGTCTTTGGTAGCCTTCCAAGATCGTAGGGCACCCTCACAGCATTCAATCTGTTTGCCAAGATGTCTCTCTCCTCCTCTGTCATCAAGTTGTTGGAATTAGTTATAAGTTCTTCCCCAAGGTCTGAAACAAGGCCCATCAAGATGCTGTGCATGGGATCAATTAAGAAATTTTCAACCATGTTGAAGTATGGCAGACGAGCCAGTTCACTGTACTTTACTCCTGTTTTTTGAGACATTGCTAGTGCACTTGCTTTTGTTGTTGCCTTTCTATATATACCCATTGCCTTTCGTACCTCACTGTCAGTCCGTGCTGGTGATTTCTCGCTTGTGTAAAAACTCATCTTGCCACTTGCCCCTCTGGTGCCCTTTTCTCGAACTGCCCGAAACATACATTTATCACATGGAAGATCGGCCTTGTGACTCTTGTATTGTGATAACTTCCTTGAGGCTGGTATGTCTGCAAGTACTGGAAGAAGTAGAGAACGGGTGAAGATGACCTCAGGCCCAAGTACTTGAACGTGAATTCCTTTGTATAACATGATCAAGTCGTCTACAATTGGGGTCAAATAAGTATTGATGTGACCCTCAGGTTCAGATGGACCTGGAATTAGACCGATCAGCATTGACCACTTTGCTTTAAAACGCTGACTCTTTGGAATGTTAAGGACACTCATGTACAGGGCTCCGCATGAATAAACCGCTCGTTGAAATGGATTGAAAAAATCTAGGTAAAGTAAAAGTGCCAAATTCATTTTGTCCTTCAGAAGAGGCTTTGTGTTGTCATCAGGATCCATTAGAAATTCCTGAAGAATACGCCCATCCCATATGTCCCTATAATCAGTTGTTGATGGTTCAGGCGGTTTCTTATGAGATTTAAGAATTCTTCCAGATTAAAAAAATGTCTTTATCCACTCAGAAGGTGCTAAAAAGGGATATGTCTTATATGGAATCATTTTAGTTTTTCCAAATGAAAGCTTTCGTTCAAAAGAAAGTTCTGCATTACACCTTTTCCCATATAATTTGTTCCTGCATAAGCGAGGCTTTAAAACCCCATCCCTCTCAGAACTAATATCATTCATCTGGTAGAGACACGAGCATTTGGGGTTGGGGCAAACAGCAAAAAGTATTGTTTTGTTGAGAACCTTAAGATTGGCAATGGTTTCAAGGTCACTGATTGACTTTGGGAAAAGCATATATAAGGGATGACGTATTACCCAAAAAATGAAATAAATAAGATCTAGCAACATAGAAAAAATAGCATTAGATAAATTAAATGATAGTTTTAAACGTAAAAGTATTAACGAAATCCAGCGAATTAGTTTCCCTTCTTCTTTTGTCTTTATGACATCTTCTTTCAGCTCTTCCTCCTTGCACTGGTCTGCACCATTTACTGCAGCACTTTCTCCTTCCATCATGTCTTTCCTCTCGTCTGCTTCGGATTCAGTGCTGCAGTCTAATAGTTCTATAGTGTCTAGGGGTGTGAATTACCAGAAGTATTTTAGTATTTACAGTCATGCATTCTTCAAAGACTGTAGTTTTTAAGTTACATATATTTGGCAATAAACAATGAATTTAAAAAGTCTCTCTCATAGACAGAAACCCTGAGAACAAACAAGCAGCTCATTGTAGTGCTGAATACATGTTAATGTAGATTTAGCTGCAGTCAGCTTTTGAATTGATTATCCACAACCAATCACACATGAGACAGTATTAAGTTGTTGTCCTCCGGCAGCTGATCAGTCAGATCATCCTAATATTAAATTCCTAGACAATTATTAATAGTTCCCTTATGCACCTATCAATGTGAAGTTGGTGGGGAGCTGCACATTGTTGTTTAATCTCAATTATAGAATTCCAACTAATGGCCCTGTCCCATGGATATAAGATATAAGAATGTGATGTTATGATCTTTTGTGAACAACAACAAAAAGGTTAAAAAGTCTTAAGTTTAATAATTATTCTTGATTTCCAGACTGTACGGCACATGGGTGAAGTGGAACACATGTGATCGGTCTTGACAAGTCTGAGTTAGTGGTCAATATCTCCACATGCCACATCGGTAAAAAAAGGAAGGTTCAAATACCCCACCCCCCAGAAGAACATTAGTCAAATGCTTAACTCCAGGGCCAACAGAAAACATTCAAATCCTTATGCAATGCCCTTCCTCAATCCCCCCTCCCCCCCTCAGGCTTTACATGGACAGGTGCATTAAACATCTGTATTAATTCTCTGTTCTGTATCAGGGTTGTCATTAAGAGCCGGGGGCAGGGGATTTTCCCCCGGCTACTTTTATCGGAAAATAGAAGAAAAATAGAACCAAAAGAAATCCCTGGCCATTTGATTCCCCGCCTACTTGTTGTATTTACCCGGCAACTTGAAATCTTAGTGACAACCCTGTGTATGCTCATTAAAGTCTACCAAACAAATTGAGGGTTACTTTGATTTCAATTCTAAACTGATACAGATTTCATGAAAGTAAAAATTATACCTTTTAAGACAGCAATCCCTTGATCTTCCTTGTCACTTTCTTCAAAGTCAGCAAGTCCATTTTCACCTGAAAAAGTTAAAATTGTAATCAGTATGGGGAATTATTCCTCCCAAGGAAGAGGACCCCACTATGAGATGAGTAAAGTGGTGTCACCTCTTCCCATTAACATCTGTGTGATTGAAGGTTATGTTGCCTGTAGTTAATTCATTAACTGATCCTTACAGATGATCCAATCATAGCCATGCAATTAACTACAAAGCCAATGACCACCAGGATAGAGTACCCCAGAGTTAAATTGACAGGGATAATTGAAAAGAGGTTAAATCAAAACCAACAGAAGAAGACGTGTGGCACTAGCACTACCATACGCCAATAACGTTGTTTAAGATACCCCCAAAAATCCTTGGCTAATTCAAGGCACCCAAAATAATACCTGGCCTGTCACTTTTACATCGAATTCTCCTACTAGCAAGGATTATAGGCATTGCTTTTAAGATTTATCTCACTATATACTGGTAAGGTTGTTTTGATTCAGTAAAATTCATGATAAAGGTATTGATAAAAAATATACCTGAATAAATTTGCATTTTAGTTTCCTCAGCACTGATGTTATTATTGCTACATGTCATGTCTATCACAGATCCTTGAACTTCACCTGGAGCAAACAAAATCCAACATTTAAGGTGGCTGCTAAGAATACTGGCAATTAGATGTTCTCAAGCAATGAGTCTATGTTTTCATTATTTTTTAATGTAGAAAACAAAACATATTTTGAGGAGGAGTAATAATGTATTATATTAATAAGTAATTAATTATTATTAAACTGAGTGGTCTTAATTGCAACATTAAAATATCCAAGTCAAACTTGAATGTTATTGTTTTTCGATTAAGTTTGCAAGTAATAAAAAATGTTGTATATGACTGTTATAAAAAAATAAAGCTGAAATGTAAGCTTTGGAAATGGTGTCGGTATGTTTTTGTGTGTTTATTCCTGAATTAAATACTAAATACTATGGTGACTGCTGTCTCAGAAGCATAAAGAGTATTAAGTGGGGATGAAACTCTATTTTCCCAATGGGGCTATACATAATTATAAGACCAAAGATGAAAAAAAAATATATAAACTGTGCCTCTTTTAAAGTTGACTTTCTTTTTTCTTTGACGATCATGTATACACAATACATGTCAAAATTAAGTTCAGGTTAAATTTTTCTATCTAGGTACATATTGTCTGTTTCCTTTGTCTCCTAGCCCCAATAATATTATTCACATGAATTAGGGTTTGGAGACAAAGGAAATTGAGAATCAACCTATCATATTAGGTTGAAATTTTTTTCAGCTGAATTTGATTGACTTGTAACATATATCTCAGGGGCTGATCTAGGGGAGGGTGAAGGGGTGTGCACCCCATCCCCTGAGATGACCTGCGGTTTTCTAATACAACTGGTATTCTGCAAAAAAAAATGTAGTTTATTGGTGTTGAAGTAGAGAAAGAGACGAGTGCACCCCCTCCTAAAAAAAATCCTGGATCCGCCTCTGTATCTTATGCTAAAAACAACTGAGAAGTTCCCTCCTCTTCCCCGTATTTAGGAGTCAATTTGCTGACTTTCAGAAGCCAGAGTTAGTGTTATATCCAGGGCTGAAAGTAGCACAAAGACAACTGACAGTAATGTCCAGGAAAAGAGAATTCAAGCCCTTCTATCATACCTACTTTCTAGAAAAATCTAAAATCATTTCTTGTAATAAAAGTACTTCTTGATGTGACTCACCAATAAGAGTGTGAGCATCATTAGTGACATTCACCTCACATGACCCAGATTTGATGTCAATAGAGGGAGGGTTGTCATGTCCAGCTGGCTGACCAGCGGCATCTTGAAGAAATAAGATACAAAAAAAAATAGAAATGCACCATCATGTGAAGTTAAAAATTCCGTTGTAATTCAATCAAATCCATTTGCTTTTTCCAATTAAATTAACTTTTTTTGACTTATTTTGCCGAATGGTCCATATTCCTTGATTGCAAATCCGCGATTTTGAATTCCAAATTCCTCAAGTCCAGTCCCAAATCCACTTTTCCCAGTAAGTTTTCCCAGTTGAAGATTTACGCGGCATACATATGTATTTAAATCGACAAAGTGCTATCAATAGAAGAAAAGACTTACCTGGTATCTCTGATGTCCTTAAATTGGAAAATTTGGCTTTTTTAGATGGCTGCCCGCTGCATTTGATGTTCTCCGTGTACCGATCTAATCCATAAAGGTTCCGATGTCTGAAAACAGTCCGTCTTGAGCGCAAGCAACCTCGGCATTCGGGGCAGAAACACGTCTGATAATCTGCCATTCTGAACTAACTTAAATAATCTGTATTTAATTCTTTGGTTTGTCATACATGTACGATCTGCTGGATATTTTGGTGCTCCTTTTTCGCGAGATAGCGCCAAATTGCGCGAATGTGGCGAGCTTTATTATTGCGTGACAATGTTTGCGCTAATTTGACGCAAGTTGAAATTTTTCGGTGGACGCAAGGAGAGAAATTGCTCCTTCAAAGGGGGATTTTTGGCGAAAAATGGAAGTACAAAACCCAGAAGAACTTATGAAAGTGTTACTCGATAATCCGTCGGCTAGAAGCCAGTTGAATTCCTTTGTTGAGCAAGCAATTGCGAAAAGTCACGTAAGTTAAGTGTGTTGTTTTTGTTGCGGGTTTGCTTGATAATTAATTAAGTGGTTTCATGACAACACTTAATTGACAAAAAATTCTTCCCTTTTGTTTTCCTCTAGTCACCTGCACCGTCAAAAGTTGTACCACTGGTAAGTAAAAGCCAAATGTTACAATTTACTTAAACGCTAGCTTTTGGGGGAAAAAACTATATACTAGGACATTTGTTGACGTCAGCTGCATCTTTCAGATGTATATTTCGACGGGACATTTTACTTGATTTTCACGCTATGTAGTGTATGGCCAATCCACTTTTAATATATCCTGTGAGCTACTTTTTTAAAATAAACTCTGTAACTGATCTGACTCAGTTGGGGGCACAAATTTGAGCGCTTTTTGGAGCCGGGTAGGGCACTAAAATCACTTGTTCAAAGTTCGGTCCTCTACAGTCTGCAACTGAAGTCCTTCTGTCATTATTTCATAGATTAAAAAATGTTATGAACTGAAAACCTTGTATGACACAAACCCGGGGGGGGGGTACTTTAAGAATTTCTGGGTGGGGATGTGCCGCTGGGACCCTGGAACCCTTAACCTATACCAGAGCTAGTTCAGCTGAATTTTGCTACCCTATACTAGAGTAAACTCCCCAAATCCCCCTATCCTAGAGTAGCTGTTTACCTAGTCTAGATAAAATCTTCAACCAACTGCTCAGTTTCCTGAAAAATGATACCCTATTCTAGACCCAAACGCTCTGATTTATATACTCTATCCTAGAGTAAACTGCTTGAAAACCATACCCTTCCCGGCGGCACATACCTATATAGCCCATATATGGCAGTACCCCCCCCCCCCGGGGACACAAAGAACTACAGTACATACACATTTTCAAATTTACATACAAAAATCCAATTAATAAATAATTCAATAATTTGTGACAAAATAAATCTATAAAACTCATTAACCCTCGGACGTACAATGGCGGGGAGTTGGATGCCAGCCCCCTGCCCATAAGGTTTTCTCCCAGAGGATCTTTTCAGTAGCTATTCGTTCATCCCTCGCACATATTTTGAGTCAAGTTTAATTTTTTGGTCATGGTCCATTTCTATGGTTACGAGATATGACATCAAGTAAGAGGTGGTCAAGCCATTTTTGAGTGAAAGTACATTTTTTTTTTCCAACTTTTTCAAAAATAACTAAATCTTGTGGCCAAAATCATACAAAGTGCTTAATTGTGTGTTATTTTTCATCTGAAGCACAAAAAAATCACCATTTCTCACGATTTTAACCTGATTTCTAATCCTTGGTAAAATCCAAGATTGCAACCAAGATGGCAACCATTGTTGGTGACGTCACAGGCCCCCAGCAGCACCACCACCCATAAAATATACCTCATCTTGTAGAGAAGATGAAAGGCTTTCCACCAAAGGTAAAATATCGTTTCAAAATACTGCAACGTATCAAAAACTCTGGGGATGGGTTCCATCCACCCAGTCCCCCCCCCCCTTGTACCATGGTGGGGGTATGAATTTGCTTGTACGTCCGAGGGTTAATATAATATCTTATATTCATATCATTATAAAATGTAATGAAACCATAAAAAATACTACCCTAATTGCTTCAAAAATAATAATAAAAAAGATGAACAAGGTGCATTTTTATTTCATATATTGGGTTTTGAGGCAAATCTGAATAATAGGGAAAACATAATCTACCTATAGATCCACATATCGCAAAAAATATATTAACCATTTAATTGACTCAGTGATATTTCCTTCCACTTATAATGAGCACAACATATATTAAATTATGTGGCGGAGATTTGTAAGACAGTGAGACCCTTCCATATTACATGTTGACTTAATTACAATTCAACAGATATGCTCTTGTTGAAATATTTCACAGGACATTATACGAGATGCATTTGAATTTGAATTCAAGGATCAAATTAATCCAGGAGAAGGTATAATTAGACAACCTTATTCTTCCTATAATTTATTACCAGTAGATATAGTGGGAGGAAATCAAATGTATAATTGAATCCTGAAAGAATATTTGCATCTTAAATGTTAGTTAAGAAGTCGGATGTATTGTATGTGTTTAGTTTGAAAATTGAAGTTGGGAACACGTATTGTCCATATATTAAATTTAATTTATTATCAGTTGATGTTACTCGAGTGGGGTGTATTGACTGTTTTAAATTCTATTTGTGCTAACGGCAATAATTTAAAATTCGTAACAGTGCCTTGGTCAGATGTTCAAGACTCTGTGAGAACTGAGATGGTCGAGTATGTAAGAGAGATGATGTCATCAAGTGGTGTGTCATTACCAACAAGAAGCATTATTGGAAAAAGGATTAAAAGATATTATAGGAGTCAAAGACACCAAGCTCAAATTAAGGCAGACAAGGAGAAAAGAAGGAGACAGCGGTTTCTTAACAAAAGGAACCGCTTAACAATGGTAGGATTATACTATATTTTTTACTTTCATACTCAAATGGCTTAGATGAGGGAAAGTGAATGGAGGGATATCGAGGTAGGGTGTTCATGCCAGGACAAGTGAGGGACAGGATTAATGTATTCTCCACTGCCTGGTTGTTTACAGCTGGCAGATTAAGATAATTAACGAGGGATTAGTGAGAAATTAAATTTGAATGAATTCACATAAATAAATGTAAGCTTATTAAAGTGCCTAGCACATGTACTTGTGTACACTACGTGTGCTTGCGAATTGACTAATGATTGTTGCATCACTTGCATGTGCATTAATTCACGTGATTACTGACATCAGATGGACCAGGGCCTTTGTGGTGTCACATTCCATGCATTTCAAAGGACACATCCTAAGAATGTGGATAGATTCTGGAAAAACCTCGCTATACAGTTACTGAAGTGCCACTGACCAGTTGTTATTATTGTATCATTATTTATAACTATTATAATTATTTGTTAACAAACCGCTGTTCCTTTCTTTCCACAATGGCTTCAATTAATCAATGTCTCATAAATGTACCAAAATGTTAACTTCCAGGAAAAGAGAGACAGGGAAGTAAGGAAAGCATTGGAAAGGGAGGAGTTGAGCAGTGAAGAGATAAAGGAGCTGAGAAGTACGATTGCCCCAGTGGAAGCAAAGGAAGTGGTAGTTTACGATTCTGAGGATGAGGATGCACGCTCTGACCTTCTCCTGAAACGCAAGATCAGTTTGGAGAGAGGCAGGAAAACAGCCAGGGAAAATCAACGCAGGGGAAGTCGCCTGCTGGCTCTTCTTAGTGGTAATAAGGCACCCAGTCAGCAAGTGTCTGTCAAAGACCTGATGGAGCTGGCAAAAGAGAATGTTCCACTGCCAGCAGCTAAGGCTCCATCAGCTAGTCTGACCCCTCTGAGGTGCTGTACAACATCTACTGCTGATGCAGCCTTACGTGCACAACAAAAGAGGGGCAGGCTAGCATTAACTAGAAAGCCTCAAACAAGCATAGGTAAGTTATCTTTGGGCCCATCAAGTGAACGCAGCAACCTCATGGTGGCTGCTGGGGCACTGCGCCCTCACTGGTGGAGACCGAGGATAGTTTATCTATGGCTGTTGACTCATCACCATTTCTCTTTCAGGGAGATTTTACTGATTAAGGACAGTGTAAGTGAGGCTACATGTGTAAGAGATAGCAATACAGACCTGCCAATTCTTACAAAGCCCCATTAAGGTTAAACACTGGCACTAGCATCCCCACAGAATTTCTGTTTTATATTCAACAAGGTAACATTTCATTTCAGAAAGATATCTCCCCAAAAAACATGAGATTGGGAGTCTTGTTGTGGGGCCATGAGACAAGTGAAAAATCATGAGAGTCTTTGAAGCCAGAATTGTGAGAGTTGGCAGGTCTGGCAATATTAAAATAGACATTTTTTGGTCCATTAAAGGATCTTATTTGAAAGGTTCGGTCTAAATTATTCTTTGGTTGTCTTTAAAAGACTGTGCTGTTTCTCTTAATACAATCAGTAAAATCTCAAATGATTCAATGTTTTGAATTGTCCCATAGTGCAATCAAATGGTTGATTGTACGAACATCCTAGGAGATTAATTAGGAAGCAATATTAGCCTTTGAATTCTTTTGTGGATAAACAGAGTGCCTAATTAGACATGAAATTCAAACACAGTGAAAAATTACTGACTTTTATGGTCTATCTGCAGTCCTAATTCCAATAAAAGGATTTATCCTTGTGGATGAGTGTGGACTCCCATAATAAAATTGATAGGGATGCTTGATTATTTAGGTGTTGGATTTACAGGTTTTGATCCAATCTGTTTCCCAGGTTTTCTCTCCTACCCGTCGAGAGACCCTGGCAGGTCTGGTCATGTATATCCCAGAATCTGGGACAGGTAGGAGATAACCCTGGCTTTGATCGCACCGCATAAGGGTGTTTAGGACAAATAACCAATATTTTTACCCATACAGGCACTGCTTGATGTTGTGGGTAAAGAAATTAATTATGTCTATATAATTTGATGAAATGTGTTGGAGTTTATTATAAGTCTCTGTAAGGATTCAATTCAAGCCTGAATCAAACCCGCATTGTCCTCTTTTAGGGATTTCACTCTAATTTGTTATATACTGAGCATCATGTCATTTTATATGGGATTTGAATTCCCGCATCACTCAGGTTCCTTGAATAGCAGCCCAAAAGTCCAGCTAATCTTAATATTTTAGGCTGACGCAAAATATTGAAATTTAAAACACAAAGTGTAGTGTTCCAGCTAGTATAGGTCACTGACACAAACCAGTAGATCAACAACAGAATGATGTATTAATTATCTCTTCATTCCCAGAATGAATAATGACTCTTGTACTTGTATAGATTTAAAATCTGCTGATGAAATTCTGTGGTATGACCATTCAAATGAAACCTCTTTGGCATAACTCTAGCGCTATCTGTTTTTTTAGCACTTTACAGAATGAAATTTAAAAATCTTGTCAGATACTTTTGACAATTGCATGCCATTCTGGGAGAGAAGTGGTTATAATTTATAATATACATGTATATAAGTATTGAACCTTAGAATTCCTAATAGTGACCCTGAATGTCAATCAGTTCCTACTGGCAATATCAATATGTCATCAAGAGAGAAGGTTCTGAGAACTTTCATAGAAATAGTCATCTCCGAAGGGAATAAGTTTTGATCCTCTATCAAATTTTCTATAATGAGATGTATGGGATATCATGATCAGTCTCACAGAATTTGTTTATTGATATTGTCAGGCTTAAGGAGTAAATACTGGATTTCACTAGTCTCTAAAAGAGGATGTCCAAGGGGAATATGTTTTGATCTCCTATTTAATTCTCTAATTCTGACATGATATAATTGCTTGCTCAACAAATGAATTCAACTGGCTTTTAGCAGAAGGATTATCAAGTACATTTGTGTAACACTTTCATAAGTTCTTCTGGATTTTGCACTTCCATGTATATTTCGTCAAAAATCCCTTCTCGAAGGAGCAATTTCTCCCCTTTGGTCGAAAAAATTTTTCAACTTGAGTCAAATCAATTAACGCAAACATTGTCACACAATAGTAAGGATTGCCACAATCGCGCAATTTGGCGCATTGCAGCATAAAACAAATTTGTTATTTTACATTGTTTATTGATATTTGTTCATTATTAATTGGATTTCACTGGTCTATTAATGTTTATTAATTTAAACACGAACTTGATTATCTTTTATTAACATTCAGACAACATTGTTTTGTATATATAACATCGCCATTAAACTTACGTTTTCTCGGACAGCTGTTATCTACACTGATTCCTTGTGTATTGTTATTTTTCCATATTGGATTATTTTTGATCTGCACACTTCACAGTGCAATTTGTGGGGAGACTCTGGAATTTTGCTTATGTTACTTCAGTTCACCAAGCATTTTTCAAATTGTTATTAAAAAGGGAAATGTTTGAAAAAAAAAATGTATCTGAACATAATTTTAAGACCCAAATAAACAAAAGCAAAAATCATTGCGATGATTTCCTGTATATTCACATATCTGAAATGAAAGGATTTGGGAAATTCTTTAATTTGGGGGAGGGGGGTATGATTCCACTGACAGTATACTCTCAAGCTACAATGAGTGATACTTTGATTTTAACAATGCGATAGTGGGGGTTATGATTCCTCAAATGATTTAATAAGTCTTGCAACATCGTGGTTATGATTCTTAGCTATGACAACACAGGTTATGATTCCTCAAATGATTTCATAAAGCCTTTAAAAACCAGGGTTATGATTCCTGTGCCTGACAAAATGATATGATGACTTGGTGAAGCCTGGGCAAACCAAGGTTATGATTCCTCAAACACATCAAATCATTACTGAAATTACAATTGGTTATTTGACTATGCCATTTCCTGTGCCAACAGCACCGCGGCTCGCTGTGCTGGCACCGAAGTCTTCCGAACAAGTTTCATCAAGAACTTGCGAGCTTTGAGACGTTAGAGAACCAGTTAGAAAGCTTGCAAACGTTAGTTCTGGAGGTCTACCATCATTTTCAGATTCTTTAACTCCTTTTCTGCTCCGTTTTGGCATCATAAAAACACAATCTCCGACTTAGGTGAGGCAGCGAGAGTTTACGGTCAGCGGAGGAACCGGCCATGCGCCCTACGATGTAAACAAAAACAACGAAGAAGCTGAAATTTACAAGATTGTTCAGTTGCAAGGCTTGGATATGTCTGCAAAAGATCTCTTCCTGAGTTGCAAGAAAGGGGACCTAAATAGTGTCAGGTAAGCATTTTATTTTGCAGTTAAGTTTGCATATTTTGAGCTTTTATAAATTAGTTCCATACATACATATTTCCGTGGACAATTAAATTGTGACGTTATTCGTAAATTTCAGCTGGTATGTTGGAAGTCAAGTTGTCCTTTATATATCACTTCACACCTGAAGTAGATATCACGATAAGGTTAAGACAAAACATTGAAATTTAAAGCTCATCGCTTAATGAATTAAACTAAGCGTTTAAGAAGTGCATATACTTTTTTTAACTTCAGTGTTCTCAGTCTGACACGATCTCCATAAACCGTCTAAAATTTCAAAGTTTTTGCACAGCTCTGTTAAGTGGTCTCGTACCAACGTCAAATTAAAATGGTTTTCCACTTGCATTGCGCTACCCTGCGAGCAGAGTCTCCTTCGATCTTCCTAGAGACTCTGCTCGCAGGGTAGCATTGCGCTGACATAAGTACAAAAAGGAAAAATGGCATGGAACGGTAACAATATACGAATTATCTTACATGATTTTTGACAACGCAGTGACAACGGCGTCCAATCAGGTGTTATTAAGACTTTTGTAATTACAAAGATGTGGCGCACCACAAACGTCGAATCTCCAACTGCAAAAGCTAAAGGAAAGCCCGTTTTTACATAACTTTTCCCGATCTAACCAACCCAACCCCAGCTAAAACCGCGAACCGCTGGTGGGAATCTTACGGACCCTCCTGTAACTAAAGTAGAAGTCAGAACGGTAACTTAAATCTAAATCAAATGACGTGTGAGGGGGTAAGTGGGGTAAGTGTGCCTGGCAATAAAAAAGGAATAAATAAATAAATAGAAGAAAAATAATGGGTAGTAAAGACCTCAATAAACAAGAAGGAAGGAAAATGGCCATCCAATCATCTTTCGCTAAAAATCCGTTCTAATTATCCATGAAGTGGGTTTTGAGCAAGGCATTAAACAATTGAAAGAGGACCATCAGTTGAGATAGTCAAGACCTGCATAAAACGTTTCAAAATTGCAATAAAGCGAAAAAGCACCATCCATGTATATGTTACAGGTCAAAATTAAATTCAGGTTAAAATTTGTTACAATAGGTTGATTCTCAGTTTCCTTTGTCTCCTAGCTAGCCCTAATTTTTCACGAATTAGGGCTAGGAGACAAGGGGACTTGAGAATTAACCAAGGTTAAAAAAATTTTAACCTGTATTTAATTTTGACCTGTAACATATTCATATACGATACTCCGTAAATGTCAGTGGCAGATTGGAACGCATCGTGTTAAAATTCACGAAGACAGTCCCATTCTCCCGGGGGGTACTCCCTCATAAGGGCTTAATGGGGACGTGCGGCCAGCCAGGGTATGTTTTTCGGGATTTTTGTCTTAAACAGGGTATCGACTTTATCATTTTTTGGCTTAATCAGGGTATCGATTTATCAATTGTTGTCTTAAACAGGATATCTTTTCTTGGACGATAAACAGCAAAATGTTTACAAGCTCTAATGTTAAATTAATATTGACTTCCGTTGACTTAAACAGGGTATCAAATATCGGAATTCTGTCGTAAACAGGGTAGGAAAATCAGCGATATTTGTCTTAAACAGGGTAAGGGTATGAGGGGCCGCGACGCACCTCCCCACCCAGGGATATATCGAGTACCCCCCCTCCCCGCGGGCCCATTCCAAAGAACGCCACTTTCGCATTTTCTATAATGCACTCTCTTTGTAACGTGAAATTTTTCACTTTCTCTTGGGATTTAAAATTTTCGCTGTAAAAGTTGAAAACAATAATTGTGCAAAAATTTTGGTAGGCAAATAAAGTACATCAATGTGAGGAATGTGAAAATGACGAATAGCTTGTGAGCTGTATCTTTCTTCCCCCAGTATATTTTAAAATTCCTCAAATAAAATTAATAAATAAGCGAAAAAAATTCGAGTTAGCGGGGGATTCGAGTTATCCGAGTGTAAGTTATCGAGGTTCTCCTGTACTGTTGTTACCCTTTCCTCAAGAATTCCATTCTTTGTTGGAATTTATTACGTTTAAAGGATAAGTGTTCGAGCTTCACGCTCTTTTTATTAATCAACAGTTGTTAATTTAAACTTTAAAGATGAAATAGGCTTAAACAGGCTAGCCAAAGCTGTGTTGTTTTTAGCTGCGGTTTGTGACCGATTATAAAAATATACATTGTAGGAAAATGTGGTAGCGTTATTTACCGTGATGTTTTTAAGTTCCCAGGTATATAAACCGTCCTTCTAGTTAAATGCAAGAAAAAGCCCCTTTGGACCCACCCAACAACCTTTTCAACTTTAATTTTGGTTTTATGAGTCAATTTAATCGGACTGATCCACGTCTTTTTTGTCAGCGTTGGAAAATGACCAGTAAGTTAGCGAAAATTAGAATTAGTCAACTCGACGGTCAGAAGCGAGCGACGTTATTGCTCCCCAAAGTCGCGATTTTTTTATAGAGACGCTTCAAATGGCAGGGAGCACAATCTCCCCCACCCACCCCCCACTATACACATGGATGTATTTTCTCTAACTGGTTCATGTCGAAAGTTAACAAAAATCGTGGACTGTGGAAGGGTCGATTACGGGCTTCATGATTTTGCAGAAACCTTGTGGAGAATGGAGAAACGGAGGTGAATTTGAGAGACCGCTGGGACAGCACACCGCTGTAAGTATAGTCGGGCCGTTACTAGGGCAGCCGGGCCATTACTAGGGTCGTCACGCAACGCTCCTCCCCACTAGTGGGAGGAGAGGAGTGTTGCGTGACGACCCTAATAACGACTGCGAAGGAGACTACTGTAAGTATAGATTATCAAGATTTGTAATGATTTGTAATTAGCACAGACATGCATCAACATAATCAACTTGCAGTCATTTGCAGAGAGACCGCTGTTGTAGTTCACCATTTTACAAGCTGTCACAATTTATCGTCTCGTTCATGTCTGGTCTGGAAAGGGGGATCCTGATCCCGCGTCAGTCTCCGCACGCTCTGTTCTCACGGGAATCCCGCGACGCGAACGTCCTTTGTGGCTATCCCGAATATCGTTTTCTTTCCCAATCCTGGATCCCTCTGCCCAAATTTTTGTGAATCCCTCTTTCCGGGTAGCAGTCAAATCCCCTATCCAATTAATGTTGCCAATCCCGCACTGTGTTTTGTTAAATTCGGATCCGTATCCCATTTAACGTTTCCCGTATCCCGTACTGTATTTTGGTCAAATCTCGTATCCCGTTTAACGTTTCCAGAGTCCCGCACTGTATTCTGCTTAAATCGTGGATCCCGGGAAGACCCTTCCAGACCCGGTCAATACGACGTTTAACTAAAGTTTGAAATTTCACAGTCTCCTATATTCCAACTGAGGATGTTGTGTACCGCAGTCTCGGCGCAGTATTAGTAATTTTTTATGACGTACCACGTTAAAACCAATTGTGTCATCTTTCTCTGTTTCATTTACATTTAGATATTACGCGTGTCTCTGCGGTCATGAGGCATTGGTAGAATTTCTTTTACAAAACGGTAAGTTAATTTTTGTAATTCAAGGGTATACATTACTGCGGAAGCGTGGAACGTGAGGTAGTAAACTCGATGCGCCAAGAGTAATCGGCTTCGACGACAAGAGATCTGGGTACGAGATTACGCTAAGAGAAGAGATGCGTCATCGCGATTAATTCTGCAAACAGTGACGTGTGTGTTATTGCTGCTCTGATTGGGTCCTTAATTGTAGATCCATAGCTGAAGTATACATGTGTGGCCATGTAGAATGTATCATCATTAGATGTGTTACCGTAACGAAATCGCCGTGGGCCTTTTTTCCAATTAGTTCGATTACCAAAAAATGTACTTAAAAATTAAATCGAAACTTTAAGTTATCATATTCATGGGTATTTGAAAGAATAAGTCATCAGGGCTGCCACTAAGGGACGGGGGCCGGGGATTTCCCCCTGCTACTATGAGTATGTCCCCTGCTTATCTTCCTAGGGATCAAAACTAAAATAAAAGCAAACGAATTTCCTCGCTGTTCGATTCCCCGCCTACTAATTGCGTATACCCTACAACTTGCAATCTTAGTGAATGACAACCCTGAAATCATGCTATGTCCAGATTGTTCAAGCCGTCTCATCACCTGAAGGCAGTTAGAGTTACGACAATTTCGTCTCGTTTGTTTTTTCATCAGGAGCTTATTGCACTCCAAATACTTTTGATGGAGAACGCTGTTTGTACGCTGCCCTGACAGACAAGATAAGAAGTTTGTTGAAAAGCTACAAAGCCATCACTCCTGAGTGTATGAGACGGGATTCATACAGGGAATTTCTCAGGAGGTAATTGTTAAACAAACATTTTCCATTTTGCACTGGCCTGTTATAGACTTGCTAACCCCTAAAAGGCAAAAAAATGTGAGATTCTGAACCCAGAGCTGGGAAAAGTAGTGAAAAATGGGTAAGAGTCGTGAGGTGTCCCAAATTTCCTAGCGGAAGGAATTCCAGGGGGGATTATGCATGATTATGGTTTATGATTTCCGCGCTTTTCTCGCTGCACGTATTAACTTCCAATTCTGATTGGTTGATTGAATTGTCGGCGTCTACTATGATTGGTTAGATTGAGTTAATTCTTGTTATGTTGCCGGCAGGTGTCTGGAAGATTCCCCGTATGCAGACGTGTGTTTCCTGGTGCATGGAGAACCTGTGAATGCTCACCGCGTGATTCTGTCTGCCCGCTCCTCATACTTCGCCCACATGTTTGAGACCAAATGGCGCGATCGGCGCATAATTGAACTAAAACACAGACTGGTAAGACAATCTGCTTGATAATGTCATAGCGAGCAATCTAAAGTTTTCAGTCAGTCTTAGCATGCGCAATAGGCGTTCGAAAGGGAAGGGTAACGTGATTTCGCGCGCGCATGAGGAGCGCGAAGGGCGCTCTCAAATTCACCTCCCCTTTCCTTTCAAACGCCTGCCAGGCAGGCCAAATCAGATTTCAGTGGTAAGTTTGTTTCTTTTTTTACCTTCCCCAGGTTAAACCCTCTGCTTTCCGAGCCATTCTTCAATACTTGTACACATCTCGCGTGCATATTGATAAAGAGGGACTCGATAACTGCATCCGACTTGCCCATCAGTGTCAATTGGAACATCTCAAGTCTCAACTTCAGTTGAGAAAAGATTTCATCGAAGCTTTCGGTATGAAAATGTACATGAATCCAGCACTATTAATTTTTTAAATGCTCTACAACCACATAAATTAAAACACAAAAATTAGACATATAGAGAGAGTGACAGTGGCGGATTAATGTCGAGTACCGTGCGTTTAGTATTAAAATTTGCTTCACGACATAAGTTTGTTGTACTGCATTTCAAGTTTCTGTGTCCAAAGAACTAAAGATACTGATACTAAACGTGTCATCATAATTGTAGAAACGTCCAAAATGAGAGAGATAAACGTGGTCAGCATTGAACCGGAGTCCCAGTCCACCGAATTACAAGACGCGTTCGGACGATTGGCGGAAGCTGCTCTCCCCGTTCCCTTTACATCTCAAGTAGGTTCTTAATGCGTGAACTGATTTACACTTAGGATTGTGAGGTGCGTCGCACGGGTAAACGAACTGACAAGCGAATGAACGCCAATATTCCCACTTTAGAAACTCTTAGGGGATTGGATACAAGCTTTCGGTGCAAAGATTTCTGGGATCGTGTGGGTGGACAAACATTACTTATGATTGGTTAATGGTTGCCGTGAATACCAACGACCAATCATAGCTAACGTTTGTCCATCTAAGAGATCCCAGAAATCGTTGCGCCGAAAGCTTGTACCCAGCCCCCTTATAGCTTCTGGAGTGGGGAATTGCGAGCTGCCTCTCTCCAGTTTTCTCTTGGTTTGTTATCTCTGCTTTTGACGGGCCATTCATGTCCATTGGACTGACTAAAAAGAAATAAAAAGGGTTTTCCAAAAGCCTACAAAAGATTTGTCGTTAAGCACTCTTCTGAAGAAGCAAGCTAGTCCAACACAATCCACTTTCAAAAATATCATCCGTTTGCTTTGAACTGTTTGTTTTCGTTTTGTCTTTTCAGCAATTTCCAAGACAGTTTCCTTTTGAAATCTCCTCGGACCTTTTTGATGGTTAGTTGTTGTAATCAATGACATTTTGCTACTTTTGTTAACATTTATTTTTTTGTCAAATCAGTTTTGTCGACTTTAATTGAGGAATGCGCGAGCATTTTTATTCTGAAACGGTGTGCCCCTGTGTACCTGTATTAAACAAAGTTCAGTTGTTCTTTGATTTACTTTGAGCTACGGCAGTCATTCCTGTAAATATGTTTAAACGTTATGATTCAGTTTCAGTCTGTAGCGATGAGACATCGCCCTTGGTAGATGTGTGCTTTATTGTGGACAACTATAGATTTTACTGTCACAAGGTAAGGGTAGTAATTACTTTGCCAGGATAAAATACTCTACAAAGGCTTCGTTCGACCTCTGCTTGCAAGCGCGCAGCTAGCTTGCTTACAAGTGTTTCCAGTCGAGTTATTGCGCGAAAGTTGGTGCGAGAGCCAAAACAAAATGGGGGAGGGGGAGTTGCTCTCGTTTTGCTTTCTCGACGAACTCGCGCGAAAAGCTTGCTGTCCAGGCTAGCGCACAGAGTGAATTTGCGCTTGCGTAGTTTAGCCCTATATGTAGAAGGACTGTACTATTCCCATCAAACCTCCCTTGAAGAGCGCAAAAATCATACTCGTGTTTGTAGGGTCTAAGTGACCCCGGTAGTTTAAAATTCGGTATATATTTACAGATCAAAGCATTTTTGATCGTTTTAATAATTCTCACAACCCTTTCTATTGATTGGTCTCTCTTCTGTGGGTTAACGAGAGTTGACTGCATACATTTTAGTTATAGTTGTCTTCTATCTTTTGCAGGTGTTTTTCTGTGGAAGAAGTGACTATTTCCGAGCTTTATTAGAGTATAAGTTGTCTGAATCTCCACAAAACGAGATGTTCAAAGAGTCCATTACAGAAGTCTACCTCAACGATGTATCACCGGACGTGTTCGCCGCGGTTGTAGCGTTCATTTATCAAGATACAGCACTTGTAAGTGGAAGGGTAGTCTCCCAAAGTACCTATACGGGTATGGTCCACCCAAAGGGTTCATGATTTCAGAGCAGAATATCCATATTTGAAACATTTCATACAAGGAGACGAACCCACAAAAGTGTCGCAGTTTGAGTAGCAAAGTAAATATCACTTTTTATACCAAATCCCTCTAGGCGTTGTTCAAATTTGATGACGTATGCGACAAATACCCATGCACCAAAACCGACTTTATGACGGTGCATGGCTGATCCGGATGTTGCCAAGTAAGGGTGCTGCGAAGGGCGTGATCCTATAAGGAGGCGGAGGGCCGCTCTCGAAAATAATAAGTCAGTCCTAGCGTTGGCCCTTTAAGCCTCGGTTTTGGTCCAGCATCCGTTGGCCTTAGTATTGTTAGTCAATTGATGGCTATTTGGAGCTACCGACGTAAAAGAAGCCTTTCCTATTTCCTTTACCGGTTACATTAAGTTACTGAAATTTTGGATAAAATTGAGTTTGAAGTTAGCCTGCGAACACAGACGTCTTCTCGGTCGTCTGCGTTCGCAGGCTAGTTTGAAGTTTCTTCTTGGGTACTCTCCTATAATACAATTTTAGTTGAGCTTACCTGCATAAATATTAAACGTCCTGTAATCAATTATATTTTCTGGGCAGGTTACCGAGGAGAACGTTTATAGCGTACTTTGCTTCGCTGACGTGTACCTGCTAAACGGTCTGAAACGCCTCTGTGCACGCGAGATCAGCTCGTTACTTGACCCTGATAGCGTGGTTACCGTTTTAAGGACGGCGCGTCTGTTTAACTTGCCCGGACTTGAAGTGAACTGCTGTGAATACATCAGTAAACACTTGGAAAAGGTAACGTATGCGCTTTGTTCGTTCTCATGTGTTTACTGAATTTTACAGACTAATAATTAGGGCTTACACCTCCAGGCAGTCGATAATAAGAGTCAGTAATACTAGGGACAGTTACTGAAAATCCTGCCTAAACGAATAAAGAAACTTCCTCCATCCAAATCCAGTCGTAAAGACCAATTTCACAATATTTAAGGTGTGTCCACTGACTCTCCCCCCCTCCAACAATGTTCTTAAAGACAAACAGTTAAGTGTAATGGGCGCACAAAATTCAACATTGTTTGGGGGAGGGGAGGGAAGGGGTCAGTTTGATTCTTATCATGATGAGTGCCCTAACCTCTAGTGAAGACCATTTTCCACCATTTTTTTTCACTTCACCAGCACCATGACCGCGGCCGGCGACGAAACATTTTTCGCGCCATATTTCTATAAACGCCCCGGAAAGAAGGGAGCACTGTTACCAACTATATTAAGGATGGACCGATAAATTTGGATGCCACAGGATGTTTCAGTATAATATGACGATAAGTGTAAGACTTTTTCCGAATTTTAACTCTTGGCATTGTTGGGAGTTAACAGGCTTTTTGTTAATGCGGTCACAGGTGATTGACAATAAGGAATTCCATTCCCTAATCCTGGAGGACGCTTCCTCTGTACAAGGCCGTCAAGAAACAGACTCCATCCCAGTAGTGGACGACATCCGCTTCCATTTATATAAGGTTGTTCTTCCTATTAACGGCGTGTTAGATGATGATGATGAGATCGTTGTGGATGGTGAAAGCAGACTGCAGATGTTAGAGACGTTGTTGCAGAATCTTGGAGTGGAATGTTAGAAGACTTCACATTAGAAAACCGCCTTTTCTTCAGCCAAATCGCCTTGTCTTTTCCACTTTTTTCTTAATATAGGGTTCTGGGAGTGAGTTCTCTCTCCTCCGCAAAGGCTCCCGCAGGGTCCGGGTATTCCAAAAAAAAAAAGAAGAAAGCTATAATCAAAAAATAGAAAGCGCGCGGCGGACGATGGGAAGAGGGAAAAGGCGCTTCCCTTCTTTCCCCTTCCCATCGTCCCCCGCGCGTTTTCTATTTTTTTTCCCTTTCCCCGTCCTCCCTACAACACAAATAGGCCTCTGAGGAGGAGAGAGGAGTTAGTTGACTACAGTCTCTGACGCTCGTGCTACAAAGAGCGCGGGAGAAAAGGCCTGGACACTAGGCTTGCTTATCACGTGGCTGCGGAGTGATAGTCGCTTTAGGACGTTCGATTGTCCGTTAAGGAATTTAAATTGTGCTGCAACGTGTGCAATCCTGGCTCAGGGCTAATCTATGTCGATTAGCCCTTAATTATAATTGCTAGTTTTTGCGATTGGGTAGATCGACATTAAGCAAGGAAAAATATCACGTACGAATACAAACTTTAAAAAAGGAGGGGGAGGAGAGGAGTCAAAAGAAGGAGTTATATATGGGACTTCAATTAGCACACCATTCTGCTCCCTAGAGCCCGTCGTTTCTTTTGGTCACGTAGTATGGTACCACAACAGATACCGCCCTCTCACGTAGTCTCCACGCCACATGATTGACAGTAGAACGGCCCTGTATATATCAGAACCTTTATTTTCTTTTGGGTAGCGTTTTTAGTTGAAAAACTAAGGAGATCAAGCAAATACCTGGATGAAGCCTACAGACTGAAATAAGAAAGTCAAGTTAGAGTTCCAGCGCCCTCATTACCACTTGGTCAGCGCTGCTTCCCTGTGAAAAAACGTTAAACCTGATAAGTTTGAAATGAAAAGTGATATTTTTTCCTTCGGTTTGGTTCAATGTGCGGGCAAATCACGAGATGTTTTAGTTTAAACTGGAATGTGGTAGCACTGGTGTAATGCACATAAAAATGGCTCTTATTTTGCTTACTGAACTTGAACGAAAATTGCGATTAGACGATTTTACAGTTAGGCACTTAGTAGCCTAGCCTTCGATCGAGTGTGAGGCTGAGGTTGACCTTGTTTTGATACAAACCTCCTTTGTTTTCTTATGGAAATTATGCTTGAAAAATACTAGTTTGCATAAGAAGAGCATGATTTACATAAGAAAGCAGGAAGGCTTGTATTAATACAAGGTCAACTCCAGCCTCGTTTCCATCTGTAACTGTAAAATTTGCAGAGTGCTGTGACAAGTCAGAGGAGAAAGTCATCTTCAAAAAGATATAAATAATAATTTTACCCAAGCCTCAAGTTTGTAAGATAGATAAGTTATTGGAAAAATAAGAAACGTGCAAAAAAAAGAAAAAAATGGAGAAGTAGCAATGTATGTGAGGCTGCTTGGGTGGTAAGTTATTAAAAAAAGTTTCTAGCGAGAGAGTGGTCAAGATTTGTTGTATTTATTTGTAGTAGCTGTGGTTAAAAATGATAAAAATTCACTAAAACTGTGCTGGCACGTGGTGACAGGAAAAACCATGAAGACTGTTCATTCGAGCCATGGATTTAAACTAACGAAAAATGGCCATATAAGGAATGGCCTAAAACGTCGATTGATTTTCAACTCTGGTGGGAGTTGAACATGGAATTTAGAAGTAAAATAGTTGTAAGGACAACCCTGCGAGCAGAATCTCCCCTAAAAATAGTTCATGTGCGCATGACATAAAACAAAGGTTAGACCGTTTATAGTTCTAAGCTCTTAAGCCATTTTTTAGTCGAGCTTGCTTAGCAGCGAGACTCTTAAACCGCAAGCGTTTCCTTTTTTCCGTGTATGCTTACCAAAAGGAGGTTATGGTCCCAGGCGTTCCTAGCAGAGACCGTGGAAACTGGGGATAAGAGTCGCGACGTGACCGACAACATATTCAGAGCGCCATGCATGTTTTGGGAAGAAAGCTTAGGAAATATTAATGCATAAGACGTAGCTTTTCCGGAACGGGTCGGTCCGCGAATTCTATCGTTTTAAAGCATTGATTACTTTGGAACAAGTAAATACTTTGGTGGTCGAGAAAAAAACTTTGATGGTGAGGCTAACTGGTCGGGTGTTGTAAACTTTCATTGTATGAAAATGAGTCTTGTGATGAGAAGACGATGATTGAAATGACGCCACATGTTCATTGCGTTTTCGTGTATTTATACAAGCGTACTCAATCAATTCAGAAACAAATCGTCGGATACGGAATACTCGACTGTCGATCAAGTAGGACGTGAAAAATATTTAGCGAAGAAACACCGTTTCGTGTTCAATTAATCGCCTCCTCATTTCTTATCCAATCTCCAAGCAAGCTCGACTTAACGCTTGAAAGAGCGTCTTGTTTAGAGGAAGTTTGACGTAGCTTGCGGCTCAACACACTCAATGGGCTTTTGAATATGTTAGTACGGTGTCTATTTTAAGTAGACAGATGCTAATGGAAACGAGCTTTCTTGACACTGCTGACAGTCCATTGGATCCAAAATCTTGAATCTACCACCCTTTTTCAGAATTCGACCAACCAAGCTGAGCCCGAAATGATACCGAGATTTTGCCGACAGGTTGCCTTCAGATTAACGACTGTATGCCGCAAACAGGAAAAACGTTTTGTTCCTGAACAGCAATTCAAGTGACTTTTGCTCTAATACTTACATGTAAAGCCATTCATTTGTTTAATGGTATCCTGTTTTTTACTAAAACATCGAGTTAAATACTAGTTACACGCTAGTTATCTAAATATCAATATAAATTTAGACAAGCTAAGAATCAAAAACCTGGAATCTCCTCCTTTCACCGTACATCTACCATGCAATTAAAAAATTGGACAAATATCACACCATAAATTATTGTTATTTTCACATTTGCTTTGGCGATATATTATTTATAGTATGGGCAATTTAAACACAGCACCGCCTGCAAACAACAAATAATAAATTTCCCGCACTCTTTGTACAAATATTACAATATATATCCGGGAACATTAATGGAGAGATAGAAGAAGAAATCCTCCACAATGTTCGTCAAATAACCTGTATTCATAAATGGCTGCCTAAACGAGACTGTTTCATCACGAAACTTAATGTTTCTCCCCTTTCAGTTAAAGATGTATTAGAGCTACCGTATTTGCTCGAAATAGCACCGCACTTAGGGGCCAAATTATTAACAGGCGCTGTTCTTGAATAAGGGCCTCTATGTCAATGAAAAAATATACATTTATTAATTCTCCATGCTTATTGCTATGCTTAATATGGCTAATATGTTTGCTGTCGTTATTTTTGGATCTGGCAAGAACATTGGTGTTCAAAACAAACTCTGATTGTCACTGCTATTGTCATTGTTGTTGAACAAGAGAAATAAATAAAAGTAAGCATTACCTAAAATTGTGTCATTTATAAGCGCCTCCCTGACAAGCCAGAAAATTTAATTAGTGGTGTTTTGCTCTTGCAAGTAAATGCTTTAGTTTAAGGTAAAGAAGAGTACTGTTCAAAAATAAAAAAATTACTGTGAATGAGTGGTTTGAAACCTTTTGCAAGATTATTACTACGAAATGAAGGTAACAGACTTCGACCAAACTCTAAGGGGCAATGTCAAATGTCTGCAAATCTAAACAAATGCAAAGCTTGACTCATTGCAAGCAATTTAATAGATCAAATTATCCGATACAAGGAGAACTTGAAAATGAAAGCCATATTTAATCTACCTTTCTCATGAACTGGCCATAAACCAAACAGAACTTCATTTATATGCAAAGAAAAGAAAAAGAAAAATGTCTCACATATCATTTCCCATTACAAAATAACCATTTTGTTTCACTGAAGTTGAAAGACAGCCATTTATGAATATATTCTTTAAGGAAAAAATTTACATTGTCTGAGCTGATGTCGATATTATACAAAGTTAATATTAATACAGTGTTCACAATAAATTGGTTAAGCCCTGGTATCTTCAGCATTAAGAAAGCAGATGCATTAGAAAACTAAAAATTAACCCCAGAAATGAAGTATTTTTAATAGTATTACGAAGATTCAGGGTATTCTGAAAAGCACTTCAAATTTGATCTTGATTACATGAATATGAGGTAAATGGCTCGTTGAAGAGTTGGATCACTTTACATATCTGGGTAACTGACTACCTACCCCTCCCCTAAACCAACATTAACACTTACTTCTCACTTAGGGCAAAATTTTGATTTAGGGGATGGGTAGGTGGTCAGTTACCAAGAAACGTATAATGATCGGAAGAGTTTGCAGACAAAAATCCTTCACTTTTAAAATGAGAGAGTTATGAAAGCGATTGAGAAGTGCTTTCTCTGTTTAACACACTTGACAAGGTCCAAAATAAATTTGAAGTTTGTCCACTGTTCACAGTCCCCTATTTTTTCTTAAGATTGTCAGGATTGAGTGCTTACCGGTATGGGTGGCCATCTTGATTTCTTATGTACCGACGGGGCTGGAGTCTAAGTTTTAAGTAGATTTGACACTCACCGCATCCAAGATGGCCACCCATTATGCAAAGGGCTTGATCTCAACAATCCTACAGAAAAATAGGGGACTGTAAACAATCTACAAGTTTGTGAAGTATGTTTATTTGGAGTCTAAATAGACAATGCTAAAAATACCATAAAAAATAAAGCTAAGTTGAGTAGTACAAATTGCACTTTTCTTCAGTACAACATTAGCTTCCTCTTTGAATAACTTGTTAAAAAAATTATGCGTATTAAAAAAGGAAATAAAAACAAATTCAGTTCCTAATGAAACTAAACTAACTCTGTTCCACACTGTTCTATAATGCAACATAAAGAAACAAAAGATCAATAATATAGAAGATACCAAAACCTAGCCAGAAGGAATGATTCCTATAATATAATAATAATAGTATGTTATAATTATTATTATTATTAATAATTATTAATTTTGTTATCCTAAGATACAAAAGTGAGTCCTCTGATGTCAGAGCTCCATGTCTTGAGCTTCATCTTCTGAAAAGTCACTAATTGAACTTTCACTTGATGATGACATTTCCTCTTGGTCTTTCAATGCCTCTTCTGTTGCATATTTCTTAATATATTCTAGTAACAATGAAGTCACCATATTAGAATAATCGTTTCACTTTACAAATTATAATGAAGACAAAGAATGTAGTTCTAATTTTCAGTCGATCACTGTCTGTGGATAAAATCCTTTGATGACAAAACTGCACTCAAACCTCTTTGTCATTATCATAACATGGCACAGTTTCTCGTCCACTAACTTCCTTTTGAAAGGAATTTATACACACAATCCTCAGTAGCAAGTTCCCAAGGAATTAAAGAGAAAAAAACACAGAACTATAAAAGCTACATTGGTCAGTGTAAACCAAACAAGCAAGGTTTTTGAGTTGTGCTAGGTGGCCAGTGGTTTTCAAAAATGGATGTCCACAGAATAAGGCTCTAAATAAGCTTACTGATACTTTTTCTACCAGTGTACTAATTATTCAATCATACCTTTTATTTTTTCTTTATACTGTTCTGGTTTGTGAAGGTAAAGAGCGGCTGCATCTCCGTTCAAGGGATCAACAGGGTTAGGGTAAGACAGAAGTTGAGGTAAAAAAGACTCAAAGATGTTTGACAAATCTGACATGGTCAAAAAAACAGAAATCATTAACAGACCCAAATCACAAAAAAGGTAGAGCAAACAATAAGGTTTCAAGGATTTGAGAAATGAAATCCTGCATTTACTGATCAGATTTTTTAATATAAACTGCACAAAGACACAAAAAATGCTTCAATCTATATATTATACAGCAGAACATTCCAGCTTGCTTAAAGCTACTGACAATGAAGGTGATTTCAAGGAAAATAATATGTCATAATGGATACTTACAACATGGACATTAGCCATACTTAATTTACCCCTTTTTCTCCCTGTTCAAAGTCAGTACAATCATACAATAAACACTAGCAAATGGATTGTCTCATTGTAATCTCCAAATAGTGAATTCGTCAAAAAAGAATTTAAGGTGTTTGGATAACCAGTGAGACACTCTTACTTGTATTGGGTCCTTTGGAAATAGTAATAGCACACAAACTTCAAAACAAAACTAGAAAAAAGAAGTTTGCCAAAATCATTCATGTTTATAATTTTTACTCCAGGTATCCAAACCACTGTCACAGTAGGAAGTCCTTTTGCTTCCCTTTTCATGAATCAGTCATATATCATGCAAAGAATAACATGTACAGCTTCTAGGGTTGTGCGTTCCAGATCAGCACACACACAAATAAAATACAGTGGAACCTCGATATAATGAAGGGCCAAGAGACTGGCAAAATATGTTCGCTATAACAAGGTTTCATCATTGAAGTTCTTTTCAGTATATTTTACTGTTACTGGGGCACTGCGACATATAAAGGTTCATTAAATCGATGTTTCACTGTTAAAGATTTATTCTTCTTCAATCTCATTATCTTTTACCAGCACTAACCATACAACGCAGTCCAAGCTTGGTTGATCACATCAAGGCAAACTGTCCCAGAACTACGAAGATGTTACAGACCGTCAATACCTCATTACTAGCATATTTGAAGTACTACTTTTGTTTGCAACAGAATAAAACAATGAAACAGAAAAACTTACGCCTCGTCTATGTTTGGATGGAAAATCTTGTTGATAAAACCTTAGAAAAAAGTAAAAGAAAAAATATATCAAAGTCAAGTTTTATCAGGATTGACCACAGAAAACACAAAATTAAATAATTTCAATTCCCATTTTGGCACGTGACAGTTGTACTTCAAACATGGTCATCATCACTAAAAAAGTGAGTTGTATTGGAAGACAGTATTGAAGAAGTTTAGAGGTGGTGATATAAAAATGTATTAAACCATATTTCTTCAATACACTGCATTGTAAAAAAAAAAACAGATTACAAATTTGTACATTCTCTTTATGATGGTGTGAAAATCAGTTACAACCTATTAGCAGCATGAATCAAATTCAGATCCACTGCATGTACTAGAAAAAAAATATTCAGCTTCCTCACAAAACTTTCTGAAAGGGACCTGTTGCAAAACCCAATGTCAGGACTTCAGTGGGCTGAAATTCAGATGTTACAAGTTATATTGGACATCAATATTTGTGTAACTGGTCCCAGGGCTTCAACACAATTTTCATCAACTCTTTGCAAAGAAGCGTTGTTACAAAGGAATGAAGTGATTGCAAATCTCAGTGACAGTAGGTAAATCTAAAGATAAATACAGCTGTACATGGCTTACCTATGGATGGAGATTTGAATGGGTATTTTTCAGGTAAATCGACCCTCACTTTCCAAACACCACCTTCGTAAAGGCCTGAACAGATTAGGTAAAAAGGGACAAATCTGAGTGTGAGCTGACGTTCCTATAATGATGTTAACACTTTTTTTCTAAATACATTGTTTTTGTGTTTAGAGAAACTTGATCACTTGATCAATTTGTTGGCCATGTTATGGTTCACCACTCCTTGTCACTTCCTGATCAGGTGGACATTGCTTGAATCTTAACCTCTTTTCATCTTGGGTCCCAAACCAGCTGCAATTATTTTGTCAAAATGATGAATTCTACTGCATTCCTAGACCCACATAATTTGACGTTTTACTGTAAGCTCAGCATAGTTAAAAAGCTCAGTGGGGTCAAAGTTACTTTGGCTGGCACAAAGGCAAATTCCAGTTAATAGATGTAACCAGAATAATAATTAAACCTTCATTGTGAAATTGACATTGTTTCCAAGGATTCAGGATGTTGATATCCTATTATTCTCTGATTTTACTTTTTTCTGTAGTTTCCAGGCTGCGGTTGTTCAAACGTTGGATAGCGCTATCCACAGGATAAAAATCTATCCAATGGATAGCACAATTGGTTTCCCTAATTCTTATCCGCTGGATAGTGATTTATCCGGTGGATAGTGCTATCCAACGTTTGAACAACCAGGGCCAGGTGCCTAACATACAAATTCTATCAGATCAAAATAATAATTTTATTGTAAATAGCAACTTATAAAATGATACATTTTCAAGTTGTTTTTTTTTTGAAGTGCCTCACATGTACTTCTGACATTTTATAAAAGGCATTTTGCCATTTCTAGAAACCAGTCACCTGGCTAAATTATTTTGATAGAGAAGTTAACAAATTTACCTGAGGGTATACAGGTGTAACAATATTGTGGTTCTCCCCAAGCAATGAAAAAAGGGTCTGTTTAATTCCAATTTTCTTAAGCTTGTGGTTACCGAAGATCAAAGTCCTTTTTCAACACAGGTTATCAAAGATCTACATGTAAATAACAAGACTGCAAGTGGAGACATTATGGTTCCACAATGTTTTGACTTTGAGTAGCCATTTTTGGTAAGCAATAGAAAAAGTATTTAATATATTCCTATAATTATTTTCATAATTTGCAAGGTTTTGTATCACTCTATAGGGCACCAGCCTTAAATTGTTTCATCAAAGTGTCACCTGAATGCAGAATAATCAGATTCCACCTTGTTATAAAATCAACACACCAATTTTGCATGTTTAAATGCTACATGTAAACATAGCCCTATGAACTCTACCGCAAAGTCCAGAGTCCCAAATTATAACAACTACCCAATAAGAAAAAGAAATCTATGCAAGTGCCAAAGAAGTGAAACACATAGAATTCTTTCAAAGAGTATTTATTTAAATATAACAGCAGTTTATCAGCTGGGACAAATAAGCGACTAAAATGCAAATAGATGTACGAGATAAATTCCTTACTAACACGGCATTTTTCCCCAAAACAAAACAAGCTAGCCATATTGTGCCCATTGGAAAACCGATGCCTTCTTGCCCTCCAACTAGCCTTGTTTAATCACTTCCTATTCGCCTATTGAATTCAATATCAGACTGAAATCTCTGTGACACTAACCAACAGGGTAGATTGCACTTTCTAAATTTCAAGAAAAAAATATTATCGCTGATATCGATTTATAATTTATAATGACCAGAGTAGCTCTGCCTGTAAAAGCCATAGAAGCTTTGGATCGGTTTAGTTGGCAACAACATTTTAACACAATTGCTCTCAATCAATAATATCCTCAAGTGATTTCGGCTACAATTGTGCCCATGCATCCCAAATAATTTGCGCTTCAAGCAATGCGGAGACACAAGACAACATTAAAGTTCATGGAGAGCCATTTCAAAACATGAAAATATGTTCGCACTTACTTCCACTAGGGCCAAAAAACTTCACAATAAATTCATTTAAACCACCAAGTATTGTCACTTCGTGCTTGCTTTCAATTCTGATGAGAATGTAGTCAAGGAATAACGAGATAGACACAGAAAAAAAAAACAACAGGATATGTACAGAAAGCGCCATTATGGCTCGTGACTTTGCCAACCAAAGCACGACTAATCAATAATCTGTACCAAGAACTTCTACAAGGATACAGCTTTATGACATCCGTGTCCATTCGCCTCTTTCCTGGGGATGGAGAGGACATTCTGCTGCTCCCAGACTCGAAAACCTCACACCAATCTACTCCTTCGATGCACCAACAATGGACGACACACTAAACTTTCTGGTTAGGTTTGTTGACGTAACATTATTATTTTGATCACGTGAAAAATGACCAAGCTCCGCCCCCAACAGAAAATGAAATAATGAAAATAAAACGAAAGAAGAAAAAGAAAAAAGGGAAACTATCAACTGACGAGAAACTCAAAGTAAACTTGTGTTGTGTGAGAATGAAATGAAGAGTGGACTCCGAACAGCCAAGGAAATAAGAACAAGCAAAGCGCAACCCATATTATCGGCATTAGGGTGATACAGGAAAGCCGCGAACGCCGGATGACCACTGATATTATAGGGTTGCAGCAAAGAACAGCTGTTTCATTCTAGTAAGAGCGCATCAGCGCAGTGTAGCAGATCTGTATACTAATCATGGTCTCTTGACGGCCCACCAAAACATGCAAATCACCGTTTCGTAGAGACAGGAGTTAAAGACCTTAGGATCTGCAATATCTGGCACGACACATGGTCGCCTCAAGTAGTCAGGCCAGGCGTAACATAAGACTGTATGAGGAACAAGACAGGTAATTTTTATGAATAGATAGGTTAGGGAGGGGAGAGTAGGGTTAGTCTAGAGTACGAAGAGTACAATGGGGTGCAATAGAGAAGAATAGGGAAAGACAGATAGGTCAGGGTGGGTAAATTAGTAGCGTTGTGCATAGGGACGGGTAGGGAAGGGTGAGACGGGTAGGATCAGGAGCCGATTATTAGGAGCCTCCATATTTACTTTAACCTTGAAGATAGCGTAAATTGGAGGGAGAAAATGATAGGCTAGGGTGTGGCAGGTACAAAGTAAAGGCCCCGGTCACAGGTCACAGGTGCAGGTCACTGCTCTATAGATAAATAACTGCCGAGATAAGCAGTTTCCCCGGCTTTAAGCGAAAACTCTATTTCTGATTTTGATCAGGGGTAGGAGACATTTTTAGTGTTGTTTATTTACCATAGAATGATGACCTGTACAGTACTCTAAGCTGGGTGTGTGACCTGTGACCTGCATGGTATAAGTAGGACGGTGTAAACAGGCGATTGTATTGTGAAGTTTATAAGATATAAGCTATACACCAGACTCACTGGACCCTGATGGGAAAGATCCATAGAGGAAAAAATCCCAATCGAGATAAAAAAGATTTTTATTTAAACAACAAAATATTCCAGTGTAACATACCTTAGTCGGCCATCAAACAAACTTTTAACAAACTAAACGTTAACCAGTAAGAACCAGTACTCTAAAAACATGGCACACTACAATTTGTTTTCCCAGTTTTGCAAAACATTAGTCTTCCAACAACCGTTAGCATTTAGCAATTTTTCACTCCATCTTTTTCAGTAGCCCCCCCAAAAAAAACGCATCGGGAGATACACAAAACACCAGGACTGTATGCAGTATTAACAAACCGTTCAATTTTTTACGCAAGCGTACAGCCTAATATCGTGCATAACTTTGAATGAAGGGGTGTATCCGACTCTCGAAACAAATCCTCGTCTTTGATTAGATACTGACTTCGTAAAAATTTGTCGGCCACAGTAAGGTGCGTCGCACTGGAACATAAGCAATAACTTTTATAAATTACAGGCATCTTCACCAAGAAGGTAATTATAAAACGTTTGTAAATGTTCTGTTAATGGAACTATTCTATATAAATTTAAGGCTAGTTCATCGCCTTAGAAACTTTCTAAAAACATCTTTGTATTTATACATATGCACGTCTTGTTTATCATGACAGCGGAAAAATACGTGTAATAAGCTGTTACACCAAAGCTGACAGTATTGTTTAGTAAAAAAAATATTGACACAATATCCCTGTGTGGCCTGAACGATAAAAGATCATCCGGACGTTAAAACAATTGTAGTTGAATGACTTCTTTCCCACATACACGAGGCTAAATGACCGATGAAATTGTCTTTAGTTATTTAATGATAAGTAAGAACTGCAGTTGAATGGTCGTGATACACTTCCTAGTGCCGTGACAATGGCTGAAACGCGGCTAACAAAATAGATCATAATAGAGTGTCAATTCCAATGAAACCTCCCATTTTTGTCAAGTTTGAAATGGTAAATGAATTTGTTAACTTGTTTTTCGACGAAACCTAGTCAATAGTGTTGAGAATTGTAATTTTGCCCGCGACATTCAACTAGATTTACCGTAAACCCCAATATAACGGGCACGCAAAGTCTTCTCTTTTTCCATCAACACCTGTTGACAGTTATTTTCTCAAACCCACACTTTCCCTGAAGGCTCATGATAAAGATTATTTATCTCCTTGTTATCAAATATTCTTGCTGCGAAAGATCTCTCTGCCGGATAACTCAATGAGATATACTTCTTCTAAATTGCATTCAATGCAATTGTAGACGTCTAAGATCATGGTATCGTGTTAAGAACAACTCCAGTTATAGTTCCGAAGGAGTGAAATGACCTTTAAGACGCATGAAACACTTTCGAAGCTTATCCAAGAAAGAGGATAATGATCATTTGTCATGTGTTGATCCTTCAATGATCATGCGTCATGCTTAAATAGTTGTTAGGCTTCATTGCTAGATGTTCCGTTATTATACTTGCTTTGCTGGGGAATAACAATCTCCAAGTAACTTTCTAACTGTTTTCCAAGCGTCTTGTGGAGGAGTCTAGAACGAATAAAAATAAAACAAGAAGAACGTGAACCCAATTATGTTTCGTCTAGTATTTGGATGACAGGGCTAACAACGGAAAATACCGTAAAATCCCCGTTTTTAACCCTGGGTTTACAAAATGTCAAAAGGGGATTTTGGGTGGGGTCATATCCAAAAGGCTTATAAACGGGATAAAAAAATCGTTTCGAATTAAGCTGCTCTGCATGCTAGTTCAATTTCGTGGTTGATTTCCACCCTTGCTGCAACAGGGTTTTTTTCTTGGAAATCCCATCTTCTCCTCACCTCAAAAACCAACATATCTTAATTCCAATTTGATCAGGAATTGTAAAGTAGACAAAGAATATGAGGATGTGCTACCTCTACAATCTACATCATCATCATCATCATTGAGGAAGAACTCGAAAAAAACTAGAACTCTCACGTAACTCATACATTCATTAATGTACTGAACTGAACCGCATGCTGCTAAAATCACATGGTCAATAATAATTACGGAATAGAAATCACTTTATCAAATATGCAACTATGCATGCAAATTCTACCATCATCATCATCATCATCATCATCATCATTGCAATCACCGTTGTCATCGCCATCATCATCATCAACCAAACAATACACAATTTTACAGTGAAGTTACCTCATGAATCAACTGAGTTGATGTTGGACTCATTGATGGCAGAAGTGTTCCCAGAAGAAGCCTCCAGCCAGCCGGTGACGTGGTCCCATCATTACTGGTCATACTAACAACCCACGGACACCATGTGCGATGTTCATTTAACACATGGAATGTACTTTTTTCTACCTCCTACAAAAAAGTATTGTCTGGTCAGAGAATTCAACAACATGTGCACATTACAAAAAGTACTGGTTATTTAAAACATGTTAACAAAATAAGACAGCGAATGTATTCCCATACCTGTAACCTTCTTCTCTTTGCTCTGGGTCCAAGATCTTCCCTCTCTAGGTTCCCTTCTCTAGCACAACCCATAAACTCCAGTTCAGAATCAAGATCTTGAAGTCTCTCAGACAAACTCTCATTTTCGACCTCCACACAGAGTGATTCTGTTGCCTCTTCACCGGGCAGATTTGAAAGAGAACGGTGTAGAGGTGACTTGAGGCTAAATGGCTCAAGTGGTTTATCAGTTAATTGATTAATATATTCTTTTTCTGTCAAAGTGTCCCCAGTAGAAGTTTTTTCAGACTTATCAGAGCTTTCACTTTCCTCCATTGGTTCCGACTGATCTCCATTGCCGCTATATTCAATGGTATTTTCTTCAACATTGCTACCGGAACGAAAAGACTTTTCTTGGTCAGCTTTCCGTTGTCTGCTTCTCTCCTCGTCATATATTTGCCCAGTATCAAGATAAGATGGGCTCTCCTTATCAACAGCTTCTTCCTGTTCACTTGGAACATGTGTAAGAGGGAAAAAATTCCACACACCCAGCTCACGACGACACAATGAACAAGATATGGTGTTTACTTCTGAATCACTCGCAGCACTGAAAATAAATGTACTAAATTTTAAATTACATCATTAAACCTTATTGTACCATTTAAAAAATCAACTTCACTAATGTAAAATACACAGTTGTCTGAGTTTTTGTTTCGCTTATTTTCACCTTTTCTTTGCCATTGTGGTTGCACTGAACTCGCTCGTGGTGTTACCACATAAAACAGTTCTTGATTTGAGACAATTATTTTTCCTGAAAAACTGACAATTTGATGGAAAACTAAATTGATGTCCATAGAGGCTTAGAGGTCCTGTAGATTTAAATATTACTGCAGTAATAATTATTCCAGTATACCTTCCTTGCCAGCCACACAGGGCAATGACACATGATGCCTTTGAAGCTTGCTCTAAGTCCAATTCATTCCTTGTCCAGCATATACTTCCAGGATCAACTAAATTCTGAAGGCCTTCAATATGTCCTGGTGACAAACAATCCTGAAAAGAATTCCAACCATTAAAACTGCCACATCAACATCTGTGTTCTCTGCACTGTTATCTATACATTTGCTAATCTGTCTCTGACAAGACTTTCAAATTACCGTATTTATTTGAATAAGCGCCCAACCTCGAATTAGCGCCCACCTCGAATAAGCACCCATCCTAAAGGCAGAAAAAGATAATAAGCACCCACCCCCACCCACTTGGGTGACAATAAGATTGAAATTGAAACTGAATAAGTACTAATATAAAGAGACTTCCCAGAAGACGGAGTTTTCTTCAGTAGGGGTAGTTTACAGAAAACTTGCTTTGTTACATCTTCACGTTTCGTTATTACCATTTATTGTTTTGTTGCAAAATAAACATACTACACTTGCTGAAGCACCCACTCTCAAGGTCCAAAAATTTAACAAGTGCCCGGGGTGGTTAACCGAATAAATAGGGTAAGACATTTTCCATCGGTGATCTTTTTTTGGTTCTCATAACCAATTTTGCAACTGATAAAGGATAGGGATTAGATTTTGACTTTGTCAGAACTAATGATTAGAAACCGTAGCTTAATCTTTCTTTGGACTGCAACGGGGCAATTTTCGTACTGAAGTAACAATCAACGGTGACCAAAAACATGCCCTGAATACAAATCTTTGCCACTGACCATGTCCTCTATTGCCTGTTCATCTATTAAAGGAATCTCATCTACTAGCGTAACTATAGATCTCCATCTTGCTCTGTAATCTTCTAGCCACTGACTGTAGCTGTACATCGGTAGTTTTAAAAATGATTCTGTTTAAAAGAAATACATCATCATCATCATCATTATCATAATCATCCTTCAACCACAAGAGTAGAAAGGACATTCTTGGAGATTTCTTCCCAAAAATCAAGATTCACCATCACTGTACTTAGCTCCCTTGTATCAAGTCCTGAAACTCTAGCAATCAAATTGGGGTAGGTTAGCTTACATGAATGCACTCTACCCACTGAGTACCAGAGGATGAGAAATAAGATTAGTTCTTTAACTACTTGATAACAATGACCGGCAAACTGGAGATTCTCAAAGAGATACAATAATAACATTGGTTTTCCAAATGAATTGCTGTGTCCATTCAAAGACTTAAAATATCTAACATTTCAGTTGCTAGCCCATTTTCAAAGTGAATTGATTGCCACTCAGTCCTAGATATTTCTCGTAACAATATGTAAAAAGGCCTGTAATGTCTATTTGTCCTCCCCTCCCTTACAAATGAGGGTGGACGCACATGGAGGCAAGACTACACAAAGAAGAAAAAGTGATTCCATACAAAATAGTATCAGTAACCCTGAGGGCTTCTCCACCTCTCCCTACCCCTGCTCCCACCACTGTGATATCCAGGGTGTCCTCTTTACTTGTAAAAAGTTGAGGTTACATACCAGGACTGGGATTGTCTGGCCATGGGCATAGTTTAGAATGTCCAGTGACAAGTGCCTCCTTTAACTGCTCACAAGTCTTTGAATCTGCAATTAAAATTAAAGGAGAAGGTAAATCTCCTGAGATTTTGGAATATATAATCCAATATTAGTGCACCGTTTATTATTTATTTAATCACTTCCACCATATGGTGCGGAACACACCAGATAACCCACCCAGCCAAGGAGAGGTTGACCACACCACCGGGGTCTACGTCCCCAACTCCTTTTGAACAGTGGTGTGGGTTCTTTTACATCCCACAAGAACCAGGTAAGTGAAAGTGCTGTGAGATGGGACCTACGGTTTTTCATCCTTATCTGAGAAGACTAGAAAGTCTAACCATTTACAGATGTCATTGCAAAGGCAGCACTTTCTCTTCAGTTAAAGACCCTGAGTGTTGGTCCGGCCGGGGTTTGAACTCACCAACCTCCTGCTCAGCAGAACGTCCCTCTCCCAACTCAGCTAACCAGGCAGCGGTTCAATTCCACATACCTTGAACTGTTTTATTAAGCTTTTAAAGTAAGCTGCTCTTCTGAGAATATGGATTAAAATACACGAGAAGGTTGTAGGATAGATTTGACAGTCACTTTTCATGTTTTGTGCACAAATTGCATATTTTGATATACTCACACATATCTGGATCCCATGTTGTTGATATCGTTGCATCAAGAGTTGCCTTGCACCGTACACATTGTAATATATCTACCTCACTATTCTCCCAGCCGTATTGTGCACAGAATAATGGGGACAATGCCAGTGGCTTTGCAAACCATGTAAATGGCTGAACTTAGTTAAGGAACAGGACATTAAGACAAGAAAGCAAACTATACTGAATTTGGTTTTAACTTTACATGTATACAGCTATTACGAGAAAGGTTGTCAGAGAAAAATGTGAATGCGACATCCCGAAAGGTAATATGGGATATGATCAATACGCTGTTCTTGACACTGTAGCTGTCGAACTTAGTTTTGTTGCTTTCCTTTAGCACTTTCAAACACAAGTCCATGGCCTCTCCTGCGATTTTTTCAAATTTCTTTGAAGAACAGTGAACTTAAAACCACCCACAATACCTTTCGGGATTGTTGCATGCACTTTTTCCGACAACCTTTCTCGAAACAGCTGTATATTCTTCACAAACTTCCTCAAGTGGTATCTGTAGGGATGAGAATATTTTAGCTTTTCTTCCTAAACTAAGTGAGACCAAAAACTGCAACTTACACCAGCTAATTGGAGGATGAGCAACCCCTGTCACTTTAATTTGGGAGTTCTCCCACCCTTTCATCCTACTGGAATTCAATATTATACCAAAATATTACCTTAAAATATTTTTAAAAGATAAAAAAGGATACAGTAAATGTTTCCACGCGACTCCAAAATGCTTCCTTGTTTCTTGGTTGGCTCCTACAGAATGAATCTAGATCTGATTCTTCTTGTTCAAGACTCCTAAGAGAATGGAAAGATGATAAGCAACAAATAAGATTTCCGGCTAGTTAAAGTACGAAACTTTTATCAACGATTTGTGCAAGGTGGTGGGTCTTGGTGAAATTTGTGGCAAACTGGAGGAAACGTGTAGTGAGCTCAGATGTGTTGAATTTGACAAGTAAAAAAACAGTGGCAATGATACCAGTGAATGATTCCTTTTTTACCTACCCCTTGGTTAAACATTAAACAGTTATTTTCCTTTTTGCTAGAGTATGGCGATGCATCTTACACGTTGGAAGACAAAAGTCAAATTGTAGAGCTATACAATTAAACTATAATTACAGACGATTCTAGCATAAGTACCCAGACATCCTAACAATCTGAGAGGAATCAAACAAATCAACGTTTTACTTGTCACTCACAATTATTATGTCACTATATGTTTGAAGAGATGGATAGTTTAAACCATCTTAAGGCAAAACCTTTCCAGGAAATTGATTCGGCATCGATCGCGAACAACTGAAGGCTTATACGAAATAAACATCAATCTATATCGTCATGGTCAATTTCAGCTCATTTGAATACAAGCATGCTTCGAATAATTGCATATGGAGAGGGACATCAGAAGCAACGTTGAGTATAATCGTAACGTCCATGCGCATGTTTAAGGAGTTAATTTATACCTTTTTTCCTCTTCATTTTCAGATGAGTGAAGAAAACTCGACAACAGTGCACGTACTCGTCGCGGAGTTCCTTCCACAGCTGCCGCCATATTGTCTTCGTGTTGTCTCTGTCCCCCAGGCCTTCTCAACCCTGGCTAGGCACCTGGCACGTTCTTGCTAAGCACGTCACGAGACGAGAGCCCACTAAGAGCGTATGGTATTTGTTCAATTTATTGAAACCTGGCCAGACCCGCTCGTTCAGCAGCTTTCCTGTGGGGCTTATCTGAGGGTAAATAACATTAGCATATCGTGTGCCCCAATATGGTTTTCTTTTTCTTTCTTTCTTTCTCCCTCCCTCCCTTCTTTTCGATTCTTTTCCAACACAGTGCGCCATTGTTTGGAGAACTGTCAAGACATTTTTTCTGCTTTTTGTTCTATTAGGTTCTTCAAAGGGGTAACAACGCTGCTACACTGCGAGGCCCTCTTAGGGGCTTGATAACATGTATGTTCCCGGTCTGAATTGCAAATGTTTTAGTTTCGACGCCATGTCACTGTCCTTGTTTAACTCTTCTTTATCTCATCTGTTACCATTTCATGTCGTCTTTTGTCCCTGTTTCAAAACCATGTCTACCCTAACGTGGCCCGCTCAACATCGCCCTAGCATGGGAGCAGAAAATTCAGTCTTCTGCAGTTTTTTTATTCATCCAGAGAAGAGCCCTGATAGCACCACTCTGTCATTTACAATTCCCAAACATTTAACAAAGTAATTAGAGAATCCCTTTTTATGTGCCAGCGTTAATGATCTTATTTGGGGTCAGAGTTTTGCTCCCCTTCCTCTTCAAGAAATCGTATCTCCAGCTTGGTGGTATGGTATTGTAAGAATTTAAATAGGCCGGAGTCTTTTTTCAGATAAGATGTTGTTGTGTGAAGGCATTAAGTGTTGTGAATGATAACGCATTAGTTTATGCCCATTTTCTAGTATTTGTTTTTCGAGAAATCTTGAGCAGGGTCCAAAAAAGGTGTGGTTTTATTGGTATCTCAAAACATCAGCTTACATTTCCAGCTTGAGGCCGGGCCTTATGTATTTATCTTAGGATTTATTAAGCTTGTTAATTATCTGAAAAATAATGGACAGAATGTAGAAGATCATGGAAACAAGGGAGGTTTTGTCAAAAGAGTATTGTTTCTAGGAAACCTTATATATTATGGTACATAGCATAGTAATAGGCAATGAAATCAGGCGTTCGAGATAGATCGCCTTTTTTAGCTTTGTTTAGCGAGCGCAACAAAAATTCATCTTAACATGGTCTCCCTCGATCCCCTTTTTATCTAAACAATTCAAAACACAGTTGTTGTTTTGTAAATAATGAGTCACAAGACGAGAAACGCCACAGTTCTTCAAGATAAGCAAGTAAATGTTTACTTAACCACGAAAGAAATGAGAATTAAAATGGAAATTTTACACTAGCAGGCCATATCTACTTTGCACTTTTGCTGCATGGTCCGAGAACTTCGCGATGAAAGGAAAAGCAGTTCTCACGTTTATTATTCTTGTCAGTTTTCTCCTGGGATGCTTGGCGGACCCCAAAAAGGTGGGATAACGGTTTTCATTTCTTTTAATGCAGTTCAAATGGCCATGTATTTCTCTGGTATTTTTTAATTGAATTTGAGCCGTGGCAAAAAAACAGCTGTGATGTGAAATATAGTTGAAAATATCCAGGTAAGCATGTCTCTCGTAAAAGAAACATAAAACAATCCATATATACTAAAATACACACTGTCATGTAATATCTATTAGGTTGGGTGATCCCTTTTGCGAGACCTATTTGAGTGAAACTTATTATGAGTCGGGGAATTCCATATGGGCGCACCAATGGAGAACTTTCAGGATGATTGATATCCATGGAAATGTTGCGAGACCAACCAGCGTATGAAAAAATATAAAAATTGCACTGAAATGCATTGTTGAGTTTCGTAGATTTGAATGCTACAGTGTGCGATTTTATTCGGCCTTAAAAAGGGTTAACTGAGCCACCGCAAAGGCTAAAATATACCCAGTGCATTTAGTTAGGGAAAACTTCGGTGATGACGTATCTTACAAGGAGGTGTCCCCACAGGGGTACTGCTCATAGCGAACCATCACCTCCGCACCCACCACCCCACCAACACACCCCCGTGGTCTCTCCACAGGGGTACTGCTCATAGCGAACCATCACCTCTCTCCACCCACCACCCCACAAACGTATTAACACACTCTCTTAGTCGCAATGAGGACTGACGTCATTTCCCTCTCTCCTCCGCAGAGGTTTAATGGAAAATCATTAAATAACAATGATCAAAATCAGGTTTTATGAGCCCGCGAGACTGAGCACCCCACCCAAACTCTTGTTTTCACTAAAACCGCTGGACGCCAACCCGTGGTTGAGGTCATTTTGGTCTTTCGGTTCAATGAGACGTTATTGGATTTCCGCTGCGCAAAATGAGTGCAGCCGCGAAAACCGAAAGATTCTTTATTTCCGTCTTGACTTTTTCTCTTGACAGGAAGTGAAGGGGAGCGTTGCTGATGGAGAACCCCATCATCGTTCTGATCATCAGTTTCCCTGTATTCCGAGCGGGCATCCCTGTTATGATTGGCCGGAACACCGACACCGCGGTGAGAAGAAACTTCGCTGCTGCGGCCGCCGTAAATGCTACAATCCAGATCGCTTTGGAGGGAGGTAGGCAATACTTCGAATTGACAAGAAATGAAAACAGTAAATTGATATAAAGAGTGAAATAAATTGATCAAATTCCTGCTCTTTCTTACCATTAGTTTTTCCCATCCTCTTTAGTTGTAATCAATATCATCATCATCATGATTGATTCGAAGTCGACGTCATCATCGTCATCGTTGTCATCATCACATCGTCGTCGTCATCATCATTTTTATCTGAGTACGCAACAGGATGGGAGAGGAGAGAAAGCGGCAAACTTTGTGTGACATTCGTGACAATAGTTTTGTTTGAAATAACTTTTCGCCAGAATTTCACTTCCCTTTAAACAGATCTTTTTGTAAAAGACCAGAAAACTTTCAGTGCTAAGTGAAGATCTCAACAACACGCAAGTAGCTCCGTCACGTTTGCTTCCTGTTGTCCTGTTACGTAACTCACTAATATCATCATGAGATGAGCATTATCATCATCTTGATTGTCTTTTTCCGCCCTGCTGGTTTCCCCGCTCATCGGGTTAACAAAGTTTACCCCAGAGATGCAATTAATCAATCAATCAATCAATCAAAATTGTCTCGTCCTACAAGAACCTCTAATTTTGAGCTGAGGTGACTGCTTCGTCTGCTTCTTCTTAGGCTTTACGTCCCATAGCTCATGTAGAATTGTCTGGATTGACAAGTGTACTTTCTTATGCAGGTCTACCACTGGCACATGCCCTTGAGATCTAGACTGAACAAGGCAAAATGTTGGAACTGATAAACAAAGGACTGGAAAAGGAAATGTCTCAGGAACAAAATAATTTTTACGCTACACTTTGATTGGATTTGATTTGTGAACAGCTTATTCTTTAGGTTAAAATTGTGCTTTGATCGTATAAACAATAATCAATAAACCATTTATTTTTTCATTTGAAACGTTTCATTGCGTCATGGGTGTCTGTTTAATACAGTTTTTTTCTTTAAAATTGGGCTGCCTGTGTTGATAATACCCTTTCCGACATCTTAGTAGCTCGACAGACCCTTTCACGGTTTTTTTAAATTTTGACATGGACCAGGCAGAAAAAATCGCTCAATTTCGCTGGAAAGATTAGTAAACTTGCCAAGTTTGAGAGTGATATGACGTTTGTGTCTGTAAAATTTCGCGACATCTTCCTTAATTTTCAACAAATCTCTTCCAACTCGGCAATGTTATTAATTCAAAGGCGCTCTTTTTCCCTAACTTGTCCACGTCATGTCAAATGAAAATTTTGGATCGTAAGGTATCACCCCCGCCTGCCCCCGTCCCCACCCCATTTTTCTTGAAGGCTTGGTTGCAACTGCTGGCTTGGCTACTAAGACATAACTTAAAAGTAAATTTCTTTCAAATACGTGTATATTTCACCTTCGTAATCATCATGGGTTAAATTAATTGTTAATTTTCAGCGCTTTGATCAAGGTCCAGACGTGTTTATGACTTCTGACACCCTTATGACTTCTCTACCACTAAATGGCCTTTTACAGTTTGGGGTAAATTTGGAGATCGCTGCTAAAAATTCGTCCGTGAGGAAACGGGTGAATAGGGAGTCTTCGAAAAGAATCGACGGTGCTTGTGAAAATTACGGGACAGAGATGGTTCCCAAAATTGCAGTCGTTCCAAACGACTTAAGGGACTTGGATGATGATGAAACTGGAGAGAAACAGCTGTCAAAAACATGGACCGAGGAAGAAAACGAATATCTATTAAGCGACCGCGAAAATATAGATGAAATCAATTATGGCGGTCATCATGAAACGACAAAGAACGGTTCACAATTACATGTGGCGAACGGTGATTTAACGTATGACGAAAGCTCGGATCAGTTTGTCCCATTATTAAAAGAGCACAGACATGATGAATTTGACACTGAAATTTCAGGACTGGGTGATAGTTCTTTAAAAGAAGGATCTTTTACTATCGGACTTCAAGTTTTCTTTCCTTTTCTAATCGCCGGATTCGGGACCGTGTCAGCCGGTATACTCCTTGATGTTGTCCAGGTGAGCAGGAGACAAGGGAATGTTTAGATCCAGTTCCAACGTCAAACTTTTCACGTACCGAACCTAATTCTTTCAATTAAGTACATGAAGAGATCAACTTTTGAATCAGTTGACTCCATCAAGTCTAATTTGGGTCAACCCGTTAATTAAGATCAAGTTTCCCACGTGGGAATTTCAACTGTGGAGCGACTTTGTTTCAAACATCGAACTTCTCATGTTCCAAACCTAATGCATAAATTACTAAAATTTATTTTCTCTTGTACTTGTAAGAGTTTTAGACCATTGAACATCGCGAAAATGAAGTGAGTCTGACTAATCGAGTTCGATGTATGAATCAGCTGTCCACTTTGTATCGTATGGGTCGACCCAAATAGGTATTTAGTTCAGTACATGAAAAGATCGACGTTTGAACAGGACCTAAGTTGTCATGAATCAAGGAAACTGATAATGTGTTGTCTTGTACTCATCAAATTCTTATAAATTACATCATGTGTATAAAAGTATGATTATGGGAGACCAGTTCCCGGTAACTTACTTAAGATTAACTGCAGATTTTTTGGGGGACCATGAATTAGCATGGTATCCAAGGATGAATCTAAGTTAAAGCAAAGCAGGCTTTTTTATTTGTCAAGCAGTCTGCTTTGCTCAACTGCACCTTCAAAATTACCCCATGTCTTTGTTATCTGGAAGAAATTGAGCCCGTGACGTGGTAGCCTGAGCTGAACCTGCTCTTAGTGACATCCCTAAGTATTACAGATTTCTGCACTGTAGCAGAGATGCCAACCTCTGGAAATCTAAAATTTGGAGACTCTCTTTTCTGCATTTCCCACTCCAGGAGACCGGGAGATTATTGTGTCATATCCAGGAGACTCCCAGGTAATCTGGGAGAGTTGGGATGTATGCTGTAGGTGGTTTAGGAAACAAAGCTGTAGCATGGAAAATTCCTAGTGAACACTGGAAACCATCTGGGGAGGGGGGATATGATAGTCTATTACTGGCCAAAATGTAATGTTTGTTGGTTGCATTTTTCAGCACTGGCAAGTTTATAAAGACATATCAGAAATTTTTATTTTGGTTCCTGCTCTACTTGGATTAAAAGGAAATCTTGAAATGACCTTAGCTTCAAGATTGTCTACTGCGGTAAGTGAATGCATTCTGTAATTTATTAATTTGACAATGACATCATTATTAATGAACTGTAACCATATTACACTTGTCAATATTCCCCTCTGTACTGCGTACTGGAAACAGTATGACAAGCAGACAATAATGTTGTAGTGGAAGGTTGAACATGAAAATTTCCTAAAGAGCAGCTTCTAAAAAATATTATCAGAAACTGTACTAATCAAACTATTGTCCATCCTCTCCCTCTAGAAATCCACTTCAACTTCTTGAAGTGCAAGGTTGTATTAAGTCTGAAGCCACCCCTATTGTCCTACACAATAAAAAATATTATGGCTAATGTGTGAAAGTGTTACTGCTTTATTTATATTCAAGATTTTGGGAAAACTGTGCTTGTATGTATTTGTTACCTTAATATTAGGGAGCTTAAGGAACCACAGTGGCGACCTTAATGAGAAATAATGGCAAAAAAGCAACACCCAGTTGGTTTAGATTGGCAAAACAACAACTTTTCATGTGTATCATGCTATTTGAGCATTTTTTTGCTGTCATTGCATGACTACGACAAAGAGAATTTAAATAGGTAAATTCCTCTTAGGTCTGGATGTGTTTTTGCCTTTTTAGGCCAATGTTGGACACATGGATTGTGCTAAATCGCAGTGGAAATTAATAGGAGGAAATCTTGCATTACTTCAGGTAATAGTATGAGATCAAATTGTTCAAAGAAAACAATGTGCAATATCACAATCTTGAAAGCTTTATCCTTGGTCTTGAATTATGTTGAAGTTCAGGGGGATTGACATCATGTAGCAGCCACCTTTCTTTGATTTAAATGTAAATTGTGGAGTTTAATAAACATAATGTTTGAAAAAAGGGGATTTCCAAGTAGTGAAAACCCACTTTGTTAGGTATAAGAAGCGGTGTTATAGAGTTACCAGTAATAGTCCTTAGTTGTGATGCTGACTGTCAAAAGCAACAATTTAGTAAGACCATGCAATCACTAATTACATGTATTAGCGATTGCATGGTTTTACCACATTGTTGCCTAAAACATGTTTTGTTTCATTAAAGTTTTTGATTTCTCTCTTTTTCTGTGACTATTAATAACTATGTACTAATTTTTTGGCCCCTCAGGCAAACAAAACCATTTTTAAAGGGATCAAACAGTTTGTGTAAAATAGTTACATTTATCAGACCCAGGGGAGGGGCCCTTATCTTATTTTTAGGCTAAAGTGAAGCAAAAAGGGTTAAGGATATTATTTTGAAGGCCGGGCCCTGCTCCTACGTTAGGGTTTAGATCAGCATCCCTCCACTTACTTGAAGATCTGAATCAACCCCTGTTTATTGATCACTAGGTGCAAGCAACAGTAGTTGGTTCCTTGGCAGCATTCGCAGCTGTTGTCATGGGTTGGATTCTGGATGGAGAATTCAAGATTCATCATGCCACCCTACTCTGTGCAAGTAGCTTAGTTACAGCGACACTAGCCAGCCTCATTCTTGGTTCTGTGATGGCTGCAGTGGTTGTGTTTTCTAGGAAGTGCAACATCAATCCTGATAATGTAGCCACGCCCATTGCGGCCAGTCTTGGAGACCTCATAACCCTGGCGCTGTTGTCTGCTATTAGCAGATTTCTACATAGTTGTCTTGGTAAGTTTGAAATAAAGAGAGTACCATCATTTTATCATCATGAGAACTGCCTGTGAGTTTGCAATGCATTTTACAAAAAACAATAACACTGTAATGATATTAACTTCACCCCCAGATAGCAGGTTTTCTGAAGTACTTGAATTAAGGGCTTTTGTCCAATAAGGAAGTCCACATGGAGGACAATAGGGGAGTAATACCTATTTGATTTCAACAGACCTTGTCCTTTACAGTTGGTCTTAAAGGTACACAATGCAGTGACAATGGTGAACTCATTTAAATACACCTGATTGGATCAGAGAGAAAATTTGCTGCACATTTTCTCTCACAGTAAAAAATAATGATAAATTATTGCATTGTGGTTTACAAACTAAAAGGCTTTGTTGATATTGTTTCATTCAAACTTGTTACAAGTTTAATGTTTCTGTTTGCTGTAGACACTGAGGGTGGTACTCACCACTGGATTGCACCTGTCATCAGCTTGGGTTTCTTTATCATTCTTCCACTATGGGTGTATATCACTCACAACAATGCCTTCACTCACAGTGTATTATATACTGGATGGAGCCCAGTGCTCAGTGCCATGATTATCAGTAGGTAAGTCAAATTATCAGTTGTTAGTCAAATTGTCATTTGTTCATAGTTAGTTTTGCTTGATCTCGTCAATAAGTCGTTTGTACTGCGCTGGTAACTGTAGAATATGTTATACATGTCGCAGAGTCCCAGTCAATTTGATGTTTCGTCTTTTGGTGCTCCGCAATGCAACAATGTGATTGTTGACGTCACCATTCTTCGTAGCTGGTTTGTGTTCGGTCAGTCGCGTGCTTAGGTTTCTGCCGGTTTCACCAATCAAGCAAAACTAACTACGAGAGAATGACAATTTGACTAACAATAGACGACTGTTTAACTGTGACAATAGACAGATCGAAATGCACCAATTACTGATTACGAGTCTTCATAGCCAATAACATCACGGCTTAACTGACAGACGACCAATAACATCATGACGTAATTGACCAATCAAATCAATAACCAGAGTATAATACCATCAACTGACGTGATACAACTCACTTTGACTCTGAAGATGACTACCACACAGGTTGTCAAAACGTCAGTCACTGTCAACAACAACAGTCCTATTCAGGACTACATTCACCCAGACAATCAAACTCAACCTACTTTTGAAATGACTCCTGGGTTCAAACCTTTCACAGTCAAATATGTGAGTTATAAATTTAGATTTTTGATTTCTGTCCAGTTCAGACACCAAAGACTAAGAATGTTGTAACGGATGATCCAAGACTTCTTTAAGTGCCCCCTACCTCTCTCCTTTTTTAAGCAACTGGATTATACTTTGTAACAACCTTAATGGCAAAGTTTTTTTAATTAGTCTTAGGTATTGCTAGATTTTTATTCAGCCTTCTAAGATGTAGTCAACCATGTCTCGTTCGTCAAGCTTAGCATGATGAGACAAAAATGGCAGCGTGCTATTTACGATGCATAGTTTTCTGTTCAAGCCCTTGGAAATTCAATCCACACCCTCTCCTCTCTACCTACCCCTTCCTGCTTGTTTGCCTCTTCAAAAATTAATACACCTATCTACCCCTCAGAAAGTCTGGGAACCTTTGCTGAGAACACATTTGCTTGTGGTGTTGTTTTCAGTACTGGTGGTCTAATTCTTGACTTTGCTGTGGACAAATATCATGGAATAGCTGTGTTCAGTCCAGTAATAAATGGTGTTGGTGGGAATCTTGTAGCTGTCCAAGCAAGTCGTCTCTCCACGGGACTGCACCAGCTCGGCAAACCTGGCGAGGTGCAGGAGAAGAGCAAATTCCATGGCTGTATTGACACATTTTTTGGATCAGGTATGTGGATTAAACAAAGCAGGGATTCTTAAAGTTAAGCTTCAACTGCAGTACTTTCTCATGGTACCCTTAACTTAGTTTGTGGTTCTAACTTTTGAATCTGTGGTTGAAATCCTACGGTGTGACCATTTAAATGAAACCTCTCCAGCAGTACTTTCTCATGGCTCCCTTAATTTAGTTTGTATTTCCAGCTTTTGAGTTTCTGAACTTAATCTAATCCTTTCCCTTTTGTTTTATCGCAGGACTACATGCTCGAACAACCAGAGTGTTGCTATTTATGGTTATTCCTGGTAACTTGATATTTTTATACACAATCCGTGTTCTGCAGGCAGGACATACTACACTCACACTCCTGTTTACCTCAGTCTACTTACTGGCTGGCTTGATTCAGGTACATTTCTATTTTTATTGCCTCAGATCTTTGACATTTTGCTTTGATCAACAGTGAAGGCGCTATATTTCTTCATTTCCTACCGTATGCAAATTTTCGAGGAGTTGCTGCATGACACGTGCAGCTCGTGCCAAAAGAGGAAACTGGAATGGGACTTGTCCTGAATACGAGGCTAAACGAGTATTTTGTAGGGACTACAACGGAGAGGGTGAGGTCTGCGAATTTTAAAGTCAGCGTCAAGAAATTTTATTATCAGGCTGCTAAAGGGTTTTGTGAAGGCTATAAAAAGACATTTCATCAGATAAAGAATTTTGCATGCGGTCAATTTTCGTACTTCAAATCCGGCAAACAAAATCTAGATCCTATGCAAAACGTAAAGAGGTAAAAAAAAAAGAAGTGAAATATAAATGACCAGCAAAATAGCCGAAGAGAAAAAGTAATGCAAGGTTAGTGAATACCATTTAGACCCCAAAGAATTGTTTGTATACGAACGAGTAGCCTGTGAATGCAGACCTATTTCCGGTCGTCGCTTCTCTCCACCGGAAATAGATTCGCGTTCGTTAGCTAAGAAACGAACGGCAACCCTGTGAAATGTTGTAAAATAACTGACACAAAACAATGCACATGGTAACCAAGGCTTTACTTTGCACGTGCAGGTTGCTATACTACTGCTGACCGCTAATTGGTTGGTTCACTGGATGTGGAAACGAGGCAAAGATCCCGACAACTACTGCATTCCGTACCTGACAGCGCTGGGTGACTTCCTCGGCACCGGTCTCCTGGCCGTGTCTTTCCATCTTTTATGGCTCATAGGGGATCGAGATGCTGACGTTGGAGATTAATAATTTAATGATAATTAAATGAATAAGTACATGAGACCATGTTCATCCTATCACAGAGATAATAAAGGAGCTTATGCGACCATAGCGATATTAAGCCAGTCAAAGGAATTCGCGTTCTTTTTAAACTTTTAGTCAGCGTTACGTGTTTCCTTCACTTTGTTAACAGTAAGCATAGATGGACTAATATTTTTGTATATAAAACTACTAATTCTTAGCCTTTTCCAAGCGTTCAGATCTTGGGAACAGTTTTTACGGCTCAAGAAATACTGAAGAAATCCAGTCCCATAATTTTCATGTCACAGACATAAAGATTAATTTATAAACGTATTTATGTTTTACGAACTGCACATCAGTGAATGCAGAGGAAACACATCGTCGTCATCATCATCATCATCATCATCATCATCATCATCAACCGCAACGTCCTCCATTTTCCTCCTCCTCCTTATTTCTATCGTCATTATCATCATCATCACCCGCAACATCCTCTCATTCTCATCCTCCTGCTTTTTTTCATCATCGTCATTTTCATCTTCATCATCATCATTATCATCATCTTTAACAAAATCATTATCATCATCACTAATATTATTGTCAGAATATAACGATGGCGTTATTTATATCAATTTGGCATGCAGAATCAGTACAAAACAAAAAAAAATCGTCATCTTAATTTTGTCAAGTTCTAAGATGTTGACAGTTCTTCTTGTTGTTTTATTGATAGTCACACTGTGTGACTGGAAAGTACCGTTCAGTAGCTTCTGTTTGAATGGTTACACTTAAAGATTTCCTCCACAGACGGACTTGAGTAGCGGGTCCACTGTGTGCAGGACATTGTCACAGGAAGTGAAGTAATACTTAATTTAATGCCTTCCATATGAATGTTCAAGCTGTTGGATTCCGTCCACAGACGTAAAATTTAATATAAGTTCCTATAACAAGCTAAATGAAATTAAGATTTGACATAGAGTAATCATATATTTGGATAATAAATTATATTATGCAACCGCCAGTGCGTTGAACATACCTTTTTTCAGATGTGGGCTGGAGTGTTTTAGGTTTCAACCAAGAATACTCCAAAAACAGTTTAAGTGTAGTAACAGACGTGGTTTTAATAAAACATTATACTAAATATTTTATTCTCACGAACGTGGACAGTCAACGTTAATTAAAAATACCTTTTAACTTTTTTTATTTAAGTCAAGGGCATGGGACTTATTTAATTGAACGTGTCAGGATTGCCTAAAAAGGCCCGACCATTTACGAACGTGCTCAAAGTTTCTGAAGAGTTCCAAGAACCTAGAAAACGTATTCTTTTACATTAGGCCTCACACTACTCCGTGAGCTTAATCTGAGTTGTTCATGCACTTTTTCAGGGTTAGGGGTAACTCGGCTTTGTACAGCTCTGCCTCGTGAGCTCGTCCCGGACTTAAGAAAGAAAGCTGCGAAATTTTACAGTCTAACCCGCACGCATAAGATTGTATTTCTGTTCATGGGCCTTTATCTAAATGAAGGGACAGAACACTCTTCTCGGTATTATCAGTTCAAGACAACTAGGATGACCGCTGACAAAAGTTCAATCTTCAAAAGGAGTGAAGAAAACATGACATTTTTATTAGAGGTAAAACGTTTTGCACATTGTTTCCTCTCTTGAAAGAATCAAAGTTTTTTGATTGGAGAGAACGGTGGAACACTTGTAAATGCTAATCTAGGAATTCATGCAGGCATAACCCTACACGAACTCGGCAAAATTGTTTGAAACTTGGCCATTGGTACAAAGCACTTCGTTGTGTCCATGTAATAAAAACATTATTTAATTATTCTTCGTGTAATAGGAACAACTAGCCATGAAACTACTACCTATATTACACTGAATTTACAGCCTGGCTCTTCATAAATTGGGACAACTCGAATATTTATCCATAAGAGACCACTGTGCGCATGATTACACAATATTACGTATCCCGCACGCTTGACTTTTCGTGAGATAAAAAAGGGATAAATTCTCGTAGCATTTGGAGCAATTTATTGAGGTGTCAAGCTATCCTTATTGGCCGCTAAACTTAAGTATCTGCACGCTTCTGGACAAGATACTCTCCTGTCCACACGTGGCTACAATTTGTCTGTCTTTAGTAAGTGCAATGTCCCTAGCTCCTGATACCGTTTTCATTGAAGACACTTGACTTCCGTCTGGGCGGAGTACACGTATCTCGCGCGGGATCCCGTGGTAAGCTAACAAACTGTTGTTAGATGAGTCAAAAGTAATTTTGATTGGATACACGATGTCAATACCCATGTTGTCTCGCTGCCCCAAGGAGTATTTGTCCTCGTCAAAGGAAGTTTCAAACGCGCCTTCAGCATCAAATACTTTAATCATGGTGATGTTTTTCTTGCTATCTGAATCAGAGACGAAAAACTTTCCATTGTAGAAGATAGCTTTCTCAGGACTTTCAAGTTGATCTTCGCCCAATTCCATCTCAAGGCTGTACTCTTCGCCATCTTTACTGTAAACTTGAATGCAAGGACGCAAGCCATTACATGCAACAAGGATCCGTTCGTCAGCGTCTACAAATATGCTGCTAAAACTGAGATCATCATCATCATCAACTTCAGCCAGGCAGCGGATGAATTTACCAGAGATATCGAACAACTGTATGCTTTGCGCGCCATCCAATGGCCCATCCGATACCACAATGTTATTGTTGGGCAGGAAAAATATCCCATCGGGGCATTCCATTGTAACATCTCCGTCTTGGCCAACCTTAAAGAAGTAAAAGATTAATAAATATTGTGGAAACTGGTCATCATCTAGAGTGCTGCATTGAACGATTTTTATTATTATTATTATTATTATTATTATTACACGAATGAAAGTGGTGATGGTGGTACTGACGTTGATGATAACGATGATGATGATGATGATGATGGTGACGATGACAGGAGTCCATCCAATAGGCTTCTGACGATAATGATGACGACAAGAACACGCAATGAGTATGATGATTATGAGGATGATATTACAGATCACATGTACGATGACAATGACTGACGTGCGCCAATTTGAGACACATAGCAACAATGTTGAAAAACGACGCATAATTCCAGTCGAGGTATAACCTGAGATTAGGCGTTTTTTTTTTTTGCTTCTCTGTTTCTTTGGCTCGAGAGGGGAAAAAATAACGCCCTCTTCCCGTGAGAGACATAAAGGGATAATAGGGAGAGGGTATGATCTCAGGCTAGACGAGGTACGGTGGACATAACTAACCTGACAATTAAAGGAGCCATCAGGATTAAACAACCAAACGCATTCATTGCCATAATCCGTGACTGCCAAATGACCATCAGCACTGGATGCCACAGCGCCTGGGTTAAAGAAACTCTTGAATTGTAGTGGTACCTTAAGCGAGCGAATGACTTCCGCTGCGTCCCTGTAAGACACGTTGGGAGCAGTGTTTTTAATTGACGCAATAGGGGTAATACCCGAGGTATTTAGATCACTCAGTAGGGTGGGGGCCTTGCGATTTCCTTGAATAGTTGCCAGTCCCTCCTCTTTGATGCTCTGTATGATCTTGCGACTCGGAGTAAGATCTAGTAGAAATATCGCTGGAGGTTTCTTGTCACCGTTCTCTGCTCCCCCATTCATTAAACTTCGTTTCTCTCTTTCAATCGCTTCATCGATCTTTTTAAACAGCTCCTTTTCCTTCTCCTCCAGTAGTTTTCTCAGCTTCTCTGTCATCTCCTGTGCTTGCTTTTTCATTCGCTGTTCTTGTTCCTCAAGGGGAGGAGGCGAATCCTCGTCTGTATTCTTCGATTTCCTCCGCTCTGATCGCTCGGACGTCGCTTTGCGTTCTCTTGGCTTTCGTTCTGTGCGTTCTTTCTTTATTTGGCCGCTTTTCGCTTCCACTAAACGCAGAATACGGTAGTCGGTTGGAAGCATGGCTATCCCACCCATAGGGAGAGGTAATTCTTGCTTGTCGATCGGACAAAATATCTTGAGAGCATTCTTAGGTGCAGTATCAGACAGACAACTCTGGCAGATTGTATGCAAGCACGGAAGCTGTTTTGGCTCTTCCATATATTCTTCATTACAAACAGGACATGATGTACTGTCACTGGATGGGAGGCTGTCCCTCTTTGCCTTCTGGAAAAAAGCCATGGTAACAAAATCACTGTCGGTCCGCTTTGAACAGAACAAGTTACTGTCGAAGAAACTCGAACGAAAATGCGAGATTGCAATAAAACAAAGTTCAACAGTCTTGTCAAATCAAGAAGAATTGTTTAGAATCATTGAAAATCATTTCTTATCTGACTGCGCCGTCCAATCACAGTCAACCTATTCCTTGTGTTTTTGTTCAAAAATGAGATTAACATCTATGTGTTCTGGGCTCGAAAACCAAGAGCAAAGAAACGAAAAATTATCCATTCACAAGTGTCGTAAAACTATTTCATGTTTTTGAAGGTTTGCTTCCATTCTTCGGTGCGAAAGTGAATGAAAAAGAAAACAGAACTACTGAAAACGATTCACTGCAATCGTGGCGAATTTCACTGGCTGTGACTTGCAATCAGTCACGGATAAAAACAGAAAACATTTTAATGACTTCCTGTGCATTTTTTGATAAAACGTTCTTTTCAGTTATCGTTATCTATAAGCCAAAGCACACATTCCATAAATAAGGTAAGAATTTGTTCATTTATGCATTCATTTTCGCTTTAACTACAACAGATTTCACTGAACTGCGTTACTTACGTTCCAGGAGCCCTGGGGTTACTGCTAGCTTACTGCTATGCTCAATGGGCCGTTAACGCTGGGCTGTTTTGTTCCCGGTTTACACGACAAACCTGCGAGCCTCTGATAACATTTACCCTGTTTGTGGTCCTCTGGAATACTTTAATTAAACTTTAGTTGAAGTCCAATCATCTTTTTCAAAAGATGAGCGGACTTCATACTTATGGTCAAGCCCCACTGGACGATTTGCATCTGGTGCGACCACTCCGGTCTTTGATATTCCGTGGAAATTTTTGTTAAAAAAACAATCTTTAAAAATATCCTCCAGATTCCTATAAACGCTTCGGGTCAGATTTCTGACTGCTGCTGTAGTGGGAGTATCTCCCCTCCCCTGCCTAGTATCTTCCTCCCCTACCCTCCCTCCCAGCTCCTTGCTTGACTTTTGACCCGTTCGAAAAAAAAGGAAGGCTTGGTTACCTATTTACTTAGTAAAGGTTATTCTTTCATGTTACGCTTACGCCAAATAGATATATCCTTCATGTAATAGTAATAGATTGTTTATCTCCCTGTATACCCTGTATACCCTGTATACCCATGTATACCCTGTATACCTATGTATACCCTGTATACCTATGTATACCCTGTATACCCTGTATACCTATGTATACCCTGTATACCTTGTATACCCTGTATACCTGTATGTATGTATGCCCTGTGTACCCTGTATACCCTGTATACCCTGTATACCTATGTATGCCCTGTATACCCTGTATACCCTGTATACCTTGTATACCCTGTATACCCTGTATACCCTGTATACCCTGTATACCCTGTATACCCTGTATACCCCCCTGTATACCCTGTATACCTATGTATACCCTGTATACCCTGTATACCCTGTATACCCTGTATACCCTGTATACCCTGTATACCCTGTATGCCCTGTATGCCTATGTATGCCACCCTGTATACCCTGTATACCCTGTATACCCTGTATACCCTGTATACCCTGTATACCCTGTATACCCTGTATACCCTGTATGTATGTATACCCTGTATACCCTGTATACCCTGTATACCCTGTATACCCTGTATACCCTGTATACCCTGTATACCCCCCTGTATACCCTGTATACCCTGTATACCCTATGTATACCCTGTATACCCTGTATACCCTGTATACCCTGTATACCCTGTATACCCTGTATGCCCTGTATACCCCTATGTATGCCCTGTATACCCCTGTATACCCTGTGTATACCCTGTATACCCTGTATGCCCTGTATACCCTGTATGTATATGCCCTGTATACCCTGTATACCTATGTATACCCTGTATACCCTGTATACCCTGTATACCATGTATACCCTGTATACCTGTATGTATACCCTGTATACCCTGTATACCCTGTATACCCTGTATACCCTGTATACCCTGTATACCCTATGTATACCCTGTATACCCTGTATACCCTGTATGTATGTATGCCCTGTATACCCTGTATACCTGTATGTATGCCTGTATGCCTGTATACCCTGTATGCCCTGTACCCTGTATGCCCTGTATACCCTGTATACCCTGTATACCCTGTATACCCTGTATACCTATGTATGCCCTGTATACCCTGTATACCCTGTATACCCTGTATGCCCTGTATACCTATGTATACCCTGTATACCCTGTATACCACCCTGTATACCCTGTATACCCTGTATACCCTGTATACCCTGTATACCCTGTATGCCCTGTATGCCCTGTATGCCCTGTATACCCTGTATACCCTGTATGCCCCTGTATACCCTGTATGTATGCCCTGTATACCCTGTATACCCTGTATACCCTGTATACCCTGTATACCCTGTATACCCTGTATACCCTGTATACCCTGTATACCCTGTATACCTATGTATGCCCTGTATACCCTGTATACCTATGTATACCCTGTATACCCTGTATACCCTGTATACCCTGTATACCCTGTATATACCCTGTATACCCTGTATGTATGTATGCCCTGTATACCTGTATACCCTGTATACCTATACTGTGTATACCCTGTATGCCCTGTATACCCTGTATACCTATGTATACCCTGTATACTCCCTGTATACCCTGTATGTACCCTACCCTGTATACCCTGTATACCCTATGTATACCCTGTATACCTGTATACCCTGTATACCTGTATACCCTGTATACCCCTGTATACCCTGTATACCTGCCATACCCTGTGTATGTACCCTGTATACCCTGTATACCCCCTGTATACCCTGTATACCCTGTATACCCTGTATACCTTATGTATGCCCTGTATACCCTGTATACCTATGTATACCCTGTATACCCTGTATACCCTGTATACCCTGTATACCCTGTATACCCTATACCTATGTATACCTGTATACCCTGTATACCCTGTATACCCTGTATACCATGTATACCTATGTATACCCTGTATACCCTGTATACCTATGTATACCCTGTATACCCTGTATACCTATGTATACCCTGTATACCCTGTATACCTATGTATACCCATGTATACCCTGTATACCCTGTATACCCTGTATACCCTGTATACCCTGTATGTATACCCTGTATACCCTGTATGCCCTGTATACCCTGTATACCCTGTATACCCTGTATACCTGTATACCCTGTATACCCTGTATACCCTGTATACCCTGTATACCCATGTATACCCTATGTATACCCTGTATACCCTGTATGTATACCTGTATGTATACCCTGTATACCCTGTATACCCTGTATACCCTGTATACCCTGTATGTATGTATGCCCTACCCTGTATACCCTGTATGCCCTGTATACCCTGTATACCTATGCCTACCCTGTATACCCTGTATACCCTGTATACCCTGTATACCCTGTATGCCCTGTATACCCTGTATACCCTGTGTATACCCTGTATACCCATGTATACCCTGTATACCTGTATACCCTGTATACTGTATACCTGTATACCCTGTATACCCTGTATACCCTGTATACCCTGTATACCCTATACCCTGTATACCCTGTATGCCCTGTATGCCTATGTATACCCTGTATACCCTGTATACCCTGTATACCCCTGTATGTATATACCCATGTATACCCTGTATGCCTATGTATACCCTGTATACCCTGTATACCTATGTATACCCTGTATACCCTGTATACCCTGTATACCCTGTATACCCTGTATGCCTATATACCCTGTATACCCTGTATGTGTATACCCTGTATACCCCCATGTATACCCTGTATACCCTGTATACCCTGTATACCCTGTATACCCTGTATACCCTGTATACCCTGTATACCTATGTATACCCTGTATACCCTGTATACCCTGTATACCCTATGTATACCCTGTATGTATGCCCTGTATACCCTGTATACCTGTATGTATGCCCTGTATGCCCTGTATACCCATGTATACCCTGTATACCCTGTATACCCTGTATACCCTGTATACCCTGTATACCCTGTATACCCTGTATACCCCCTGTATACCCTGTATACCCTGTATGCCCTGTACCCTGTATACCCTGTATGCCTATATACCCTGTATGCCCTGTATGCCCTGTATACCCTGTATACCCTATATGCCCTGTATACCCTTATATACCCTGTATGTACCCTGTATACCCATGTATACCCTGTATACCTATGTATACCCTGTATTGTCTGTATACCCATGTATACCCTGTACACCCATGTATACCCTGTATACCCTGTATACTCATGTATACCCTGTATACTGATGTATACCCTGTATACCCTGTAGATCCTGTATACCCTGTATATTCATGTATACCCTATATACCTTGTATACCCTGTATACCTTGTATACCCTGTATACCCTGTATACCCTGTATACCCTGTATACCCTGTATACTCATGTATACCCTGTATACCCTGTATACCCTGTATACCTTGTATACCCTGCATTCCTTGTATACCCATGTATACTTATGTACTCCCTGTATATCCATGTATACATTGTATACCCTGTGTGCCCGGTATAGCCTGTCTACCCTTTAGTAAAAAAATCATGTTTGATATACAAAATAAATCTTTTATGTAAACAATTTAATATTGAAAATAAATCAGTTACTTTAAAAAAAAAACCCTTCTGCTTTCCTACAGTTTGTCATTACATTTTAAAAACCACCAAGTCAATCTGATAAGTGCAAACAAAAAAACTAAACTTCTACTCCACCTATACAAACGAAAAAAAGTACTCTGAATTCATTTAGCATATCAGGAAGCCTGAACATAAACTCATCGCCTTCAAATTTAAGATAGGAAATCACAAATCTGAAAGATTTACAATCCGCAAAACTCCCGAAGACCTAAGAATTTGTGATCACTGCAGTCTAAATTGTTGAAAATTAAATACACTTATTATTTCATTGGTCCTTAAAAAGTCTCTTTTCTCTAAAATGAATGACGAAATACGTTATTTACAAATTAAAATACTAATGATAAAATCTGTTTTCTTTTTAATATTAATACTGATTCGTACATGCGCAAGCTTACTGCTACCTTCGTCTTCCAAGTATTTGAGAGACGAAAGAAGAATAATGATAATAATAATCGATAAATTATCCCATTCTATTACATCTGTAACTCCTTTGCAATCTTCGTCTTGATATTATTGTATTTCAGTGTACAGGTAACACCATGTTAAAAAATATATAGTAATACTAAATAAACTTGTTGTTGTTGTTGTATTCTTTGTATTTCCTTTATCTTTCCATTTTCAAGAGCAATATCCTATAAATGCGATATCACAGCAACGTCAGTCATTAAATTGACAGATGATGACAATAGAGGGTCATTTGATAAGGTAGAATTCGTAGCCCTTTGATTATTGCTATCATATCATTTTATTTAATTCTACTCATGTGTCTAGAAAATTTATTTTAATTAGAGAAATGATCGCCAGGGTGAAATTGTCGCAGAATATGTTGGGATTTAATTTTAGGGATATTTATCTATTTGTCGTTTTATTGTTGTTTTGGTTCAGTAGTATTTTAAATGAATAAGATCATTAAACAACATCGATCTAATAGTTAGCATTTCATCATCGATTTGTATATATTTACGTTTTACTAACATTTCATTTCAATGTTTTATCCTCAACGAACTATTTCATTAAGGAGGCTGACGACCACCACACCTTTTAGCCTAAAATTGAATGACGAATAGTTTCAAAACCCTCGTTTGCTGTGTTACCAAGTTTTTAAGACTAAAAGGCTCTTCATATTCAATTCTACTTCCTGAGCCAAACTTTTCTTATTTCCTCAACCTTCAGTAAACTAGAATTTCAAACTGTAGTTTGGCATAAATTTTCAACCTAGCGAGTTGCATCTTGTTCGGAATCTTGTATTGTATTCAACTCTTCAGGACTTTTCAATTTCTCAAATTTTTGCACGAACAAAGAAACCGTACTTAATTCCACATTCTTTTATTTTTTGGGTTCGGTGCAGCTGCAAAGCGCCTACTTTTCGCCTAAACGACGGTATTTGTCTGTGGGAACATTCTCTCTATCGTCTGCACTAAATAGAGCTCAGCTGAGAGCTGCAGTGCTTGTAAACACTTAGTCACTTGAATTTCCACCCTTGAGCTGAACCGACTATCAAGAATACTGGAAGCTTAACTGACAACCGTACGTCCTACTTTGAACCCACTTTAACGATCTGTCCCGTAGAAAAATTGTCTAGATATTTAAACAGATTTCTCCAATCCTGAGAATCAGATGAAATATGTGGACAGCAGTGAAGAGTGATATGTTAGCTCGGATGGTTAACCTCGGTTTATCTGTCAACTTGTGCCCTTCCCAGGGGAATTCTTATTGATTTTTCATAGCAGTAACAGTTGTATTAGTTGGGAACAAAAACCCAGAAAGGTAAAGAAAAGAGTGATAACACAATTCGCCCAGAAATTGGCATACTCCTCGTCAAACTACCCCATTCCATACACTCTGGGCCACGTAAGAGAGGCTATATGTAACCCGCAAAGGATACGCGAGGACAAACTGGTCAGTGTGTACGTACTCTTATCATAGTTAGTAGAGGAGACTAATTAGGAAACCCGGCAAACATCAAAGTG